CGGGCTGGATATCATCACCTGGTCGCTGGAGCGGTCGGGGCCCCTGGAGGCTGCGGCCGCCAAGGGAGAGTACTATATCCAGTCTGTCAAGTCGACGATCACCGGGGACGGGGATATGTATCGCATTGTGGATGCGTTGGCACGAAAGGTGGGCGTCAAGGGGATTTTCTCGGATTGGCCGGCCACGGTGACGTATTATGCTGCTTGTATGGGATTGGACTAGACTTGTTTGTACTGTACAATAGACTAGCTAGACTCGTTCCTTCAGATTCTCTGCATGCCGAGGTTTCATGTATAGTGATGCTCGAGGGTATAGCGTCCCCAACCTCTCATAGCTCGGAGACCCAAATCTAAACCATCTGTAGGAGCATCTCTGCATGGAAGAGTAGTCCTCACGTCAGATTCCTAAGCCAATTGAAACAATGATAGAGTCGTCTAATTCTGCAGCCGTGGTAAGGCTTAAAAGTCATTGGCCAAGCATTCGTGGAATTATGCCCTCCGACAACGGACGGAAAGTCACCTGATCGGCCACGTGCCTCAGTGCGTCTGGAAAGTCTTTCTGTTCCAACCAATCAGACAGCTAGAAACCTGTCTGCCAAGAAGCTGCTAATATCGCTTAGACTCTGTCCGGCAGTTCCTCTTGTGTCCGTGTTCTTGTCCAGAGATATAGTGTCAACAAGAGGTTAGTTATCCACTGGGGTTGCCTGAATGAGAACAAATCGCTCAACATTTCCTCAATGATCAATCAAACAAGCCTCTGTACTCCGTTTATCCATCCCTTCCGAACAGTCCGTTCTACAGAGGAGTATCTGTCTGAGTCTGAAGAGGCCAACAATGAAACGCCAAGAATGATCTGACAAGGCCTCGTCATCTCGTGGGGATCTGTGGAACACACAAGCGGCGAGATCATCCTCCAGCAATCCTGCAGCCAGCGTTGAAGATCCAATAATGATCTGGAAACGGAATGTACGGAGTAGTGAAGACTGAACCAGGCTCGGCAATGTACCTGATCAACGGCTCCTCATTTCCGCTTTTCGAAATTATACAAGCCTTACGACGGTCTTAGTCTGACGCGCTGTGATGGATCTGACCCGCATTTTCTTGTCTTATCACTCTGTCGCAACATTAATTGACACTCCCAGTGTCTTTCTCTCTCCTCGACTTTTCAAGTCTCTCACAATGCTGCGATGGGCCTTAGCATTATTGTTGCCCCTCTTCCTGCATAATGTGGCCGCACAGCAGCTTGACGAGGATCTCATGTCCTTCGCGACGGTAAGGCTACTTATGCTTCTTTCTTTTTCGCCGCCTAACAAACTCCTGTGAGAGACCGATCGTCGTGCTAATACGAGATCTACCACCTCCAGCTTCCTCAAATACGAGCCTTGAAATTCGACGTCCACTACCAGGATCGCGACCGTGTAAGCCCTGGTTATTGGTTCGTCGCTCCATATGGCCAGATCGAGCCCGAAGCGCCGACCCATCGATTCGAGCAGTATCAAATTGGACCATATATCTACGATGGCGACGGCACTCTCGTCTGGGCTGGATCACCCATGTTCGATAATCGGAATGTTTTTGATTTCAAAGCTGTCCACAGTATCGGGGATGAGCCGCATCTCTCGTTGGTTTGGCAGCATTCATGGGACTATGAGGATCAGGGCCATGGTGTGATTTTGAAAAACAACTATGAGATTCAAAAGAAACTCCCCTTTCGAGAAGATTTAGGCTCCTTTGATATTCACGAATTCAATATTCTTGGTGACGGCAAGACGGGCCTGGCGATGACATATCGAGAGCACGAGATCAGTCTGGAGGATTTCGGGCGCCCTGAAGAGCGAACGGCGATTCTGACCGGTGGGTTCGTGCGGCTCGATCTCAACACCGCGGACGTCTTGTTCGAATGGGACTCCCTCAACCAGGTTCCCTTGCACGAGTCGGTCCACTATGGCCCCGACTCGCCGACGGAAGGGCGCCCCGGCTGGGACTATGTGCATGCCAACTCGGTCGATATGAACGCTGCGGGAGACTACATTGTGTCCTTTCGCTTCACCAACACCATCTACCTGATTTCGGGGGTGGACGGACGCATCTTGTGGCGGCTCGGAGGCCAGGGCCAGCACAGCGACTTTGTGCAGGATTTTACCTTTTCCAAACAGCATGACATTAAATTCGTCGAGTCCAACGGCACTCACCACATCATCTCTTTCCTCAACAATGCGTCTGACGAGGATACAAATGACGAGCCCGTCTCCTGCGCGCTGATTGTGGAGCTCGACACCGGCGTACAACCCATGACAGCCAAGGTCATCCGGCGCTACAACCGCCCGGACGGGGGGCTGACCCGGCTGCGTGGGAACGCGCAGCTGCTTCCCAACAACAACCTTTTTGTTGGCTGGAGTGAACATGGGTACATCACCGAGTTTGCCCCCGAAGGCGAAGTCCTGCTGAGTGCGATGTTCAACTCGACTCGCTTCTCGACCTACCGGGCCTACAAGTTCGAGTTCACCGGCCGGCCCAACACGCCGCCCGACCTTGTCGCCTCAGTTACGGGGACAGACGCATCAGATCTCGCAACGACGTTTTATGTCAGCTGGAACGGGGCCACCGACGTTGCGCGCTGGAATTTCTATGCACGCGCCGCAGCCAACGCCCCGCCGGTCCTCATTGGAAACACCACCAAGACGAATTTTGAGACCATTTATATCGCCCACGGATACCTGGACTGGGTCTCCGCCGAGGCGGTCGATCACGCCGGCAACGTCCTGGGGGTATCGCGGGTCCATCGGAGCCGCGTACCTGGCGACTGGGCCACGGCCGGGTTCAAGGGCGAGGTGGCAGAACTGCATCCTGCAGATCCACACCTTCTGTACTCGCAGAAAGAAGCCAACCAGCAAAACGGTACCTACTCAAGCACCCCTGCAGGGGTCGAAGCAGATACAAGCGGTGACAGCAGTATCACACCTGTCGGCACTGCGGAGGAGGCCCTCCGGATGGCGCACGAGACGTATGAACTGGTCCGGGATTTTGGGGCTCTGTTTACGTGTGTGTTGGTCCTGTGTCTCGTGGCTGGGATTGCGGCGTGTGTCTATACGGTGCTCCGTCGGTGGCGCACGAAGGCGTACCAGCATGTTCCGAGTGAGGAGGGCCTGCCTGAGGAGCAGATACGACTTCGGTCAACGACTCATGAGTGAGTTTGTACATCCTGTACATTCTGTATATATATGTTTGCATTCGGTACCTCAACTTTCACACGATGACATGTGCCGTCCACAGCGATAGATAGAACGATTACCTGCTTCCATCCCTTGACCAAATCCTGAATAATCTAGCTTCAGGTACATAGAGATGCATACTCCCCACGCCAACGCAACTGTCTCCACTTCACGATGTGGATATATTTAATGGCAATGGATCTGTAGATATCTGATACTGATATCCTCCCTGACAGTCAATATGGCCTGGTCTGTATACGCAATCTGATTGGCTGGTGGAATATACAGCGCCAAGAGACAGCTTCTTATTCTAACCAATCAAACCACTCGATTCAATCCATTTCGTTGTTGCTGACAATTGCTTTCTACTTGAGTCATGACAGTAGTCTAGCAGTGTATAGTGAATATCCCCGTTGCATTGAACCTACATCTCAATCTCACCTCATTTAGTAACTACCGATATATCAAAATGCTCAACCTCTCCCTTCCCACCGCCCTCGTCCTAATCGACAACCAAGCAGCCTTCAACCACCCAACCTACTGGGGCACGTCGCGCTCCAACCCCTCCTACGAAACCAACCTTGCCTCTTTGCTTCATGCCTTCCGCACAGCCCGAAAGACCAACCCCGCCCTCCCCCTCGAAATAATCCACGTCTTCCACTCCTCCTCCTCGCCCACCAGCCCTCTCCACCCCGCCGACCCAAGCAAAGGCGCGCACCCGCTAGACTTTGCGCAGCCCGCGGCCGACAACTCAGAGCCAGTTTTCTGGAAGAACGTCAACTCGAGTTTTATCGGGACGGGGCTGGAGGGGTATCTCCGCGACAAGAAAATCAGGCAGGTGGTGTTTGCGGGGTTGACGACGGATCATTGTGTTTCGACGACGGTGCGGATGGCGGCGAATCTGGGGGTCGGGGATGTTTATCCTGACGGACGGCCTGAAATTCTCGCGGATGGGAGGCAGACTGTCAAGCCGGTTGAAAAAGGGGTTGTGGTGCTTGTTAGTGATGCGACGGCGACGTGGGCGAAGGGCGGGTTTGATGCGGAGACGGTGCATAGGGTTTCGGTGGAGAGTTTGAGGGGGGAGTTTGCGGAGGTGATGAGTACGAGGGAGGTGATCAGTTGTCTAGAAGCTGGTAGATAGGTGGTTAGGTGTGCAGTATTCGCCACTCAGCTGTGGCATGACAGCGGAGATCTTCATTTTACTTTGTTGTATACATGGATACCTCGAGGTTACTTCTGGGAACCAATGATCGCTTCGTATACCAGAGTCCTGACATCATCATGAGTTATATATATATGTATATATACATGACCTCTACTCTGCTCAGCTTATGTGTATCAAGAGTGATATCCCTCTATTGAACCATAGTCCCATACAATGTCCTTGAGACCCATCACCACTACTATCCGGACCTCCGTCCGCTTCAGACCCCTCCCCTTCCTCAGAGCCTACCATAACCCAGAGCTTCATTCCAACAAAGGCGAGAAATGTCCGTCTTCTGATCAAGCAGAACCTCTCCATCACTGCTAATGGTAATCAGTCTACATCCCCGCCCAATACCCCGACAACTTTGAATCTCCCTCCCTCATCAAGAAAAAAGACAGCAGCGGCCACGAGAGATGGGAGGAGATTGACTCGACAGTAAGCGAGGCGTCGGTTAAGGCCGATCGGGGCGATGTGCAGTTCGAGGTGAATCAGCAGGAGATCAAGAGTAAAAAGAAAGTTCGGCCGGATTTGGAGGCTGAGCCGACTGTTCACGATATGTGATTATCAAATTGCCATATTGTCTACGTCGTCTGCGATGCGCTTGAGAATGTAACTTGTCGATGATTATCTATATCTATTGAAGCTGCTTCTTCAACCTCCTGCACTTCCACCTTCCTCTCTACCTCGACATCTCGAGCATGCTGCCCCGGTGTCACAGTTCCACCTCCCTTAGACGACAAGACACCACCTGTAACTCCCCCCTTGGCAAAGAGTAGCGGGATATCCTCCAGCTCCAGGCCCTTAGTCTCAGGATAGAAGCAGTAGACCATAGGGATGAAGGCGGCATTCAGCACCGCAAAGATAATGAATGTTTCCACCCGATGTTCGCTATTTCGTCAGCACGTCTCAGAAGCACCAAGCACATATACACCCACCAAACGCAATCGGCGTAATCTTCACCACCGCAAAAACCGCCATCCAACTCCACCCCGACGCAATCGCCTGCATCTTCGTGCGCACGCGCGTGGTATTGATCTCCACGGGATAGAACCACGGCACCGGCAACCAGCCCACCCCACAGAACAACTGGAAAACAAAATAAACGCCGTAGCGCCGTACGCTGCGCCCTCACGCTCCAGCGAGAGGAGGATCGAAACCATCACGAAACACAGATACAGGCCCGCCGAGCAGACCATCAGCAGGGTGCGGCGGCCGAAGCGGTCCATCAGGAGGACGGGGATGGCGCTGCCGACGAGATAGGTGCATTGCGGCGTCGGGGTTGTTGAAGTCGCGGCCGAAGCGGTTCTGCGAGCCGATTATACCGGACATGACTCCTATTTTGTCTGTCAGGTTGAGTTGACGCCGAGGAAGAAGGGGGGTTTACCTGGGTCGAATCCTGAAAGGAGAAAAGCCTGGCAGGAGGCCATAGTGATGGCTGTAATCAAGGCCTTGCCTCGGAAGTTGTGTTCCCAGAGCCGTTCTGTAGAACTGTGTACGGTCTGTAGTTTTGAATGGAGCATCTCGAATCTCGCGGAGAAGGACTGGGATCTATATCTGATCATGTCGCTTCGTGGAATATTACCCGATGGCAGTGAGGATCCCCCACAGTCAGGCCAAGACGGATGACGATCATGGAAGCTTTCTTGGTTCTGCTTGAGGAGATAGAGATATATGTGGAGACAGCTGTCATAGTGCACATGTACATCTCTGGGCTCTCGGGGTAAAGACTTCCGAAACGCGGAGGTCCAAGTGTGGGGGAAGATCGACAGAACAAAGACTGGCTTGAGGATTATCATATGAAAATGTGAGTACTAGATAGAGCCATATGAATCAGAGTCAACTATTGAGCACTTGATATCTAGAACTGAGGGCATGGGTCACTGGCCGAAGCTACGGCAGAAAGAAGCTTTGTGGCTTGTCTGACCGAGTTTAATATAGTATATGTGATCAGATATTAGCCGAGAAAGCCAGACTCCAGACAGCCATTTTTCAATTGTTATCAGTCGTCCACAGAAAGTTTAGGCCAAAAATGACAGTCAATGCTATGGAAAGGATAGCTGTACGGCCAGCTTCAGAACCAGTTCTCTGACCGGCTGCAGGTACACCTGATCAAAGCGATAGCTAAGAAACAGTGAGAGTAGCAGACCCGCTGCTCTGATACCCCTCTGTCGCAACAATCATATAGTCAAAGTTCCCCAACTTCAGACCCGCCTTTTTCCATGCATCAAAGTGGTTCTTCGTCGTCACAGTTCCACTCACCCGGTGCGAAGTCCGAACCGACCAGTACTGGTCAAAAGTAGCCGTGCCCTGGATCGACGGCGCATTCGTCCGGGTCGTCTTGTAGATGTTGTAAGTGCCCCCGTCGCTCTCGACGGTGCCGAGATGGGTGGCTCCAGTGGAGGGGTCATAGGAGCCGTAGCTCTCCACGATGTAGTATTCGACCAGCGGATTGGTCATCCAGCCGTACACGGAGAGGTAGCCGTTTCCGCTGGACTCCCAGGAGCCGCTGTAGGTGACCGTTCTGGATCCATTAGCTTGAACCTAACAAGCAGGGAGAAGAAGCGTACCTCTCACTGCCCGGGTTCCAACCCTTTCCAGCAACAAAGTTGCCGCAGTTAGTCCAGTCGACCTGGTACTGGCCGCCGTTGCCGTTGTTGTAGGTCACCTTGCCGCCGCCGTCGGTCCAGAAGGAGTAGAAGTAGCCGTTGTTCGTGCCAGTCTGAGAGCTGGTGAGCTGTCGCTTGGCTAGCTCGACGTACTGCTCCGAGCCGGGTGCAGCTAGCACGCCAGCGACGGTGGAGAGAGCGAGAACGAGAGAAGAGAATGAGACCATGTTGCAATTATTGCTTGATTGCTTCGATGCTGAAGAGGAGATTCCTCGTGGCGATTCCAAGGCTTAAGTAGTCATTGTTCCTCGGATTTCAGCCGATGAAGGGATTACGAATCTGTTCGTCGAGGCGAATCTCAGGATTTCAGGTAAATTGTCTGTTTCATTGTGATCGACACCCACTTTTGCTGATGGGCCGTTAGATAGATATTGTAACTGAGTTGAAGGAGTGATCGGCAGCATTGTCTCCAGTTTCGCTGAGACATGGATCATCTGGAGCACTCTATGTCTCAGGCGGAGTGTGACATGAGAGGAAGATTGTTGACCTTGAACTAATAATGAATATGAAAGGACCGTCAATAAAAGATATGTTTCACTCAGTGCCAACGGAAGTTGGCCGTTCTCAAAGCGCATGGTAGACTCACAAAACATATACATACATACATTCTCCATTGATCATACCACCTTCTTCCCATCATCAAGAGCACTAATATAACCCCCATTCTCCATTTTCACCGCAACATACGGTGCCCCAACGCGATTCAGCACCTTGACCTCTCGTGGTTTGAGGTACAACGGCACCGTCGTCGCAAAGTACTCTTTATAGTACGGCTTATTGGCTTGGACCTAGCCAAGATCAGATCCTGCAATATGTTCTTCATTTATTATCAAACCTACCTCAACGAGCCATTCCTTCGGTTTTGACCTGTCCAGTCAGCTAAGTTCTTGATTATATTGGCGACTACGTACCAGTTTTCCACCCAGGTGATTGTCCCGGGGTTCTCAGGGTCTTGATACACTTCGAAGAAGGTGCATTCTGGCTCCGCGATGACATGCTCGTATACTGGTTTGAATGCTTCCCAGAATGTAGGAAGATTCGCTGGGTCGATGTAGACCGTCATGTGGAGGGAGATGCCTTGGAAGAGTGTCATTGCAGATGAGAGGTGAGTGTGAGTTTGAATGGAGGTGACCTTTGTCGGGTTAACTGTTTGATAAGGTCAGTATTTATTCTGGAGAATAACGTTGAGGTTGTGTCATTGGCTATGAAGCGTCAAGCATAACGTTATGCTGGTGCTTGGCTGAACCCTACGGTTTATTACTGCGGAGAGATGCAATTCGGCAAGGAATATCGCTCATAGATTGTCATGCCATGTTCCTAAATCCAAGAACGGTTTGTGGAGGTTTTTCGAATATTGAAACAGATTGCTTGATAGCTTCATTATGCAGCTCTATCGCTGATGTTGATCGTAAGGAGTGACACATTCGGTATTACATGATAGTGAGAGACAGGCAAAAAGATGCAGGCTCCAATGATAATTGGAGCCACACAGCAAAGACACAGACACAGACAGAGGATAGTCAGACAGGTATTAGAAGAGTACAGCAGGGCACGATAAACATTGTCTTTTCACTCCTTCACTCATCACAGTCGCAGCCCTCGGAGTCATCACCGCCCGCGGACGAGTCGTCACCCTCACCAGCGTCATCACCGTAGTCGTCGCCGTTGTCACCGGTAGTCGCATCGGCGCCGGTCTCGTCGCAGTCCTCACCATTGTCAGAGCCCAATCCACTAGTCGCAGAGGCACCGGCCGAGGCGCTCGCACCGGCACTGGCGGAGGCAGTGGCAGAGGCCGAGGCGCCGCCGCTGCCAGTCGCACTGCCGCCGATGCTGATACCGCCAGAGCTGGAGCCGGAGCCGCCAACAGAACCAGAACCAGAGCCAGAGCCAGAGCCAGAGCCTTCGGTCGAGCCGGAGCCGGAACCAGTAGCAGAGGCACCCGTGTCGCCGCCGGCCGAGCCGCTAGCAGAGCCGCCAGTAGAGCCGCCAGTAGAGCCGGAACCTTCAGTCGAGCCGGAGCCGGAGCTGGAGCCGGAGGCACCAGCGTCACCACCTGCAGATCCTCCGGCGGAACCACCTGCGCTTCCTCCAACACTGCCAGAGCCGCCAACAGAGCCTGTGGCGGAACCTCCAGTAGAACCAGAACCAGAACCAGTAGCTGAGGCACCACTGTCACCACCTGCCGAACCACCCGCAGATCCTCCAACCGAGCCGGTAGCTGAACCTCCGAGTGAACCAGTCGCGGAGCCACCAGCGGAACCTCCAACAGTGCCAGAAGCGGAACCACCTGCTGAGCCTCCAGCGGAACCTCCAAGAGAACCACCAGCAGTACCAGAAGCGGAACCACCAAGGGAACCAGTAGCAGAGCCACCGGCGGAACCAGATCCTGTAGCAGAAGCACCGGTATCACCACCAGCTGAGCCGCTGGCCGAACCGCCAGCACTTCCTCCAGCACTTCCTCCAGCGCTGCCACCAGCAGAGCCTTCGGCGGAGCCACCAGCAGATCCCCCTACTGAACCTCCAGCGGAACCTCCAAGGGAGCCACCAGCTGAACCTCCTGCTGATCCACCGGCAGAGCCTTCGGCGGAACCACCAGCAGATCCCCCTGCAGAACCTCCAGCGGAACCACCAGCTGAACCTCCTGCTGATCCACCGGCAGAGCCACCAGCGGATCCTCCGGCCGAGCCGCCTGCAGAACCACCAACACTCACTCCTCCTTCACCATTTTCATCACAGTCTTCGCCGGCGCCAGCGCTGCCGCCGAGGCCCAGGCCACCGCCCAGACCACCACCGAGATGGCCGCCAAGTCCACCACTCAGAAGACCACCCAATCCACCGCTGGCGCCAGCGGAGCCACCAGCTTCACCCTCGCAGGCTTCGCATTCAGAGGATCCGGATCCGCCAAAACCATGGGAGAGCAGACCAGACAGAAGGCCGAAGGTACGGGCCTCCAAGTGAGATTCCTCCTTGGAAGGGTGGGAGACGGGAGTCAGGAGTTTGGCGACACGGGTTGGGGCGGTAGAATCCTGATTTTGAGGAAGGGTATTCACCGGCGCAGCCAGTGTTGAAGTTGCCGAGAGGGCGAGAAGAGAAAGAGCGAGATGCATATTGAACGAATGGAAGAACGATAGTTTTTAGTAAGTGAGAAGAGAGAAGAACGAGAGGAAAAGAAGGAGGAGTGCTTCTACCAGAGGAGCAGTGAGTGGATGTGTGGATGATTAGGAGGAAGAGGATGGGAAGTTGAGAGGTATTTATGCATTGTGGTTGCTCTTAGAGAGCTGCAAAGATGTTCTTCCTGCCTCCGGAAGGCATGATTCTATTCCGGGCGGATGAAACGATGGCGTCCAGAGGGACAGGGCTTGATGGTGATCCGAGTTTTGGACAGAGACAAGGACATGGGGTGAAACCTGCTAGCACCCCGAGTTGGGGCTCCAAGGGCTGATCGAGTAGCAAGCTACTTCAGGTAACATCGATGCTACAAGTTCGTGCAGATGTCGATGTGATAGATCTGTCCACCAGAGCGTCAGGAGAAACCATTGAACTCAAGGGATACGAACAGAAGCGAATTTATGCTTTGCATCATAATATCAGAACGCGACCTGCATCCATGACTGCGACGGACGAACCCTGATCATATTCTACAGTGCAGCTTGGAGAACCGAGCTCGTTTTGGCAAATAGAGTTACCCTGGTGGGGACTCCAGCCTTAGCACGAAAGGTTCAATTGAACATCGCACGAACGAGTTCTCATTCTGAACTTTCCGGCTCCTGGTCAAGTCTTGTTTTTGCTCAAGCTTGGGTTTTGGATCGTCTGATGCCGGCTAGACCATGCGATCACCAGGGGTTTACCCCGTAGTTCAGTTTGAGATGTTCTAATTTTGGTCTTCCGATTACCCGTACCGTGCAAAAATCATCGGAATGCCTTTTGGGGTAAAGAAAGCGAGAAGAATCGAGATGTAACGAACTATTGATCAACCCACAAAAGCAATCATGTGTCAGGCAGCGTCAGAACTTGGATTCAAGGTAAATCGAGGCATCGGTATGAGTCTGTCTGCATGAATTCAGTTTCCTATTGGGATAAGTGAGTCAAAGATTCTGTTGAGCCTGTCCATATCCCGTATCGACAGTCCAGTCCCGAACTCAACAGGTCAAGGCATGTGAGAACATAGAAAACACCAAACAAGTCCCGAGCCTGAACTCCTGAGCAGTTCCTCTGTCGCAAACCATGACTAGCAGGGACTTGAAACTGGCTAGTTGGTTCCAAAGTGGATATTACCAAACTCCGATCTTCGATGCCAAGCACCGGACTGTTTCTTCTTTCTGCAGGAACCTTGGAGGCTGGAACGTTCGGGGAAGTTGTCTCACTCCTAAGCGACCTATGCAACGGCTTTTGATGCCGGAAGGATCATGAATTGATGATGTGTTGCCGGCGTTGCTGAATTCCCACCATGACCGTGTGTGGGCGTTGTAGTGTGCAAGTGGATGAAACGGATGGGTCCGACGGGAGGTAAACAACCCCTGATGCCAAGACCTCGCCTATTGCCCCCAGCATCTTTCCCCAACGTTGATCTACTTACTGATTGATAATGGGAAAGTCTTGGAATCCTTAACTACGGAATAATATCCACTGTTTTCAGCCTTGTGCATGTTGAACTTGCGTCAATTACCGCTAAATATAGTCATTGCTGAAACCCGACTATGCACTCGTGACTCGTGAGGACTGCAGCCATCCACACCCTGGAGGTCCAACATTTGGCGCAATGCATATTGCCTCAAGCTGTACCGATCCCAGTGCTATAATACTGCTATAGTTGATGATTGAACCGTTTAGTTTGCCTATTTGCGTAAATTCTGATTGAAAATTTCGATACTAATCCGTAGTTGTGATAGACGATCTACTCGTCCTGTTCTGCTGGAGATAGAGGCCCTAATCCACGAACTGGCAGGAGCAGTATATGCTTAATGAGTAGAAATTCCGGACCTCAATGCCTGTTCAGGTTGCGATAGCTTCAGCGGCTATACTAAGACAGTTGATATTCAGGAATTCGTAAGGTTGTAGAGCCACAACTAATAGTGTATAGGAAGTCAAACCAGTTCAATATATTGTAGTATACAAAGCTGTGCGTTCGGCAGGTCTTTGAACATCTCATGACAAACAGAAATGACAGAACAAAATACATGATCCTTAGCATGAAGAGATCGACAAGGATTGTCCCAAAACTTGGACTGTGACTACGGAGTATGGCCCAGAAGCGAGGTTTTGCCTAGCGCAGCATGACCAGGTGTTTTGCCTCAGCAGGTTGCTCCACTGCATCCGCTGGGATACCTGGAAAGGAAATTCAGACGCGACGTAGGATGGAAAGACAAGGATAGGAAGAATCAACCATGGTTATCTGAGGCCACCGCTGAGATCGCTACCAAACCACCAGCTGATTTATCCGACTTCTTCCGATGAGCATCTTCGATATAGAATTGCTATCATGTTATTTGTCAGTTGCTACAGAGTCCTTTCCCCTACTGAACTTTCAGTTGAGCCACAGGAATCTTCGAAATCAACTGAGTATACTTTGAAGTCCCAACGCTTTTTCCATCCACATATCCCGACAGCTGTCATTTGTCATTTTCAAGGGTTATATGACAATATATCTATGAGGACCAGACAGATCTGCTAGGTGAGACTCTAGCTCAGCATAACAGTGACTGATTTGCAGCGGGAACAAGACAGATAATTCGCCTCCAGCAAGAACATACCCTCTACCGAAAGATTCTCTGAAGTGGGATCGAGCATCGTAACTACCCGAGCATAGATGGTACGCCGCTGACTGCATGTCAAACACACGCCTTCGTACTCTACGCCTTCGTATCCTACATCGAAGAGGTCCACGCCCTGGGCACAGACCCGGCCAGCAGTGAGAGACAATTAGCCAGGGCCCCTACGGCGTGGACCTCTCGAGGTAGAACACAAAATATTTGGTCACTTTGTATGTTAAGTGCTACAACTGTTACTAAGCAGCTAGAGCAGAATTCAAGAGTTAATTGTCATTGGTCAAAAACTAATCATAAACGACATCGTCACGGCATTAGAGGATATCAGAACCATTCAACTTCAAGCTTGCGAAAAAAGATGAAATGGGTATCACGCTTAGAAACCACGCTGTGTGCCCAGGGTGCCACGGTTGTCCAAGTCGGAATCGACACGGGGATCCATCTTGTTCATCAGGTTGGAGTTGTGGGGTCCCGCGGTGTGAGTGGTAGTGCCAGGAGTGTTGTAGCTGTTGGAAGCAAGAGCCTCGTGGCGGGCGCGGTTGTCCCTGTCAGAATCGACGCGGGGGTCCACCTTGTTCATCAGGTTGGAGTTGTGAGGGCCGGCATTTGTGCTGGCGTGAGTTCCCATGCCAGTTCCCATGCCAGTTCCCATGCCAGTTCCCATACCAGCGCCAGAACCGTAGGCGTGGCCAGTGGTTCCATGGGTAGTGCCGCGGTTGTCCATATCGGAGTCAACGCGGGGATCGATCTTGTTGGCAAGGTTGGAAGAATGAGGACCGTGAGCACCTCCCATGGCCTGATGGCGGGCACGGTTATCCATGTCGGAATCGACGCGAGGGTCGACTTTGTTCATCATGCTCGAGTTATGGGGGCCGGCGTTTGAGCTGGTGTGGGTGCCGAAGGTGTTTCCGGCGCCGGTGCCATGCGTAGCGGTGGTTCCGTAAGCACCACGGTTGTCCATGTCACTGTCAACCCGGGGGTCCATCTTGTTGGCCATGCTAGAGCCGTGAGGGCCATAGGCACCGCCCATGGTCTCATGGCGAGCACGGTTGTCCATATCCGAGTCGATACGGGGGTCGACCTTGTTCATCATGTTCGAGTTGTGAGGCCCAGCGTTGGTAGAAGTTGTGCCGTAGGTGTTGTGGGCACCGGTGGCATAAGCGCCGGTGGTGGCTCCAGCGCCAGTGTGGGCACGGTTATCTGAAAGAGTCAGTAAGTTCTCAGGAGGATTGAGTTGGCTCTTCTCACCTCTGTCGCTGTCAACGCGGGGATCAACCTTATTGGCGAGGTTGGAGCTGTGAGGGCCATGGGCTCCACCAATAGCTTCATGCCGGGCGCGGTTGTCCGCATCAGAGTCAACGCGAGGATCAAGCTTGTTCGTAATGTTGGAGTTGTGAGGGCCGTGGGTGGTGCTGGTAGTGCCAGTAGCAGCAGAGTGGCCATGGCCAGGTTCGATCGGGCGAGGACCGTGGGTGCTAGTGTGAGCGACCTTTTCACCATCTGGGCCCCGGGTTATCGTGGCGTGAGAACCAGGGTGGTGGTCTTTAGCAGTGGTTAGCATTTGCAGAAGAGATTGAGGTGCGAGTATTAACATACCACGGTCGCTGTCGACACGGGGATCGAGCTTATTGGCGAGCTTAGAGTGATGAGGACCATGGTTGGTGGTAGTGGTATCAGCAGTGGTGTGGTGAGTGCCGTGGTGAGTACCAGTGGTATTGGAGGTGTGGGTAGAATCGTGGTGATGGCCAGTAACGGCGTCCTTGACCTTGTGCATGAGTCCAGACATTATGACAGGTTGTTCGTATCAGGGTATTTCGAGAAAACGAGGTAGAAAGTTTAATAGAAAGCTCAAAATGATTGATTGTTCAATTCAGTATGTTGATTGTTGTATGTTGAGAGTAGAAGAATCTCAAGCGCATCTCCAAGCTTTATATCTTCAATTCAGCCATCAAAGCAAATGACGTCAAGTCCTCGAGCTCCATTCCAACTCAATTCAAGCGCATTTCATTCACTCGTGGGTCACTCCACGTCGAACCTGTCATATCAACCCCTGGCGGTACCTGACTCGAGCTGCCACATACCGGTCTGGGGTCATATCATATGTCGTCATACCTACGATGCTGGATCCTTTGTAACCACAGATCACTTCACCAGCCACAGTGATAGCGCCACAACCGTCTACTTCGCTCCAGGCCTCATGTTATATGGCCATTTCGCCAATAAAACATCTCAAGGTGTTACTCGTCAGGTCGATTGAGGATGAGGAGATGGTGTATCAATTTTAGCTATATAGCTACGACTTTCCACCAATCGACACGGGAAGAAGGCACACGGACGACAATCAACTCAACCTTATCTCATGTATAAGCCACAGGGACTGTCGCAACTGTCACTGCTTCTTATTTTTAGAATACAGGCTTCGAGTCGTACTGTAGCAATCAAGGGTCTGGGCAATATTGCTGATCATGACTTCAGCCTTATGTCTGAGGCGCCAGAGTTAACTAAAAGAGGTTAGTCTGACTTGACGCGGGACAGCTTGACGCGTCGCGGTGGATTTTTGCCTCAGGCACCGTGCGCTGATGTCATCGCTACGGTCAGACAAGTACATTGTACTAGAACCAGGTATCTATCTTACCTATTGCTGATAAGATCAAAGGATAATTACAGTGATATCATACCCTCCGCAATGAGATAAGTTCCTCCCACAGTGGAGATTCTCAGTTGTTTCCTAGAGCCTTTACTTATCCACAGTCAGCTCTTCGGAACTACATATAGAAACCTTCTTGGGATAGATCTACAATCGGACAGCCTAAATGCTAGATGCTCCATGAGATCATATGATCTCATATGTGGTTCGTTGTGTATCTACATTGGTTTTCTACAGTGTACAAAAGATGTCGATCCTTATGATCCTGAGTCACCATGTATCATGGCGCCAAGGAGCAGTAGAATTGCATTATTCAAGCATGATTCTATATCATATCACTTGCAAATATCTAAGCCCTCTTGTTGTTGATGCCAAGAAGCTCAACCTCGCTATAATCCAGTCAGCTCCCATCACTATCCACAGTAGCACATAGTGCTGAACTTACAAGATAAGGGTCGAGTTGCCAGGGATGACAGGAGGGAAGCCACTAAATGAAATGTCAGTTCACCGAACACCACGTCCAACCGCAGACACATACCGAGCGCCGTAGCCGTAGTCACTATCATATCACCCATTAGCAAACGGACTAACAATAGAATCAACCGAAGCAGACAAACTTACGGGGTAATGGTGAGGACAGCCTTCTCGCCAAGGCTCATCTGAGGGACACCCTCATCCCAACCTAGGTATCCTCGTCAGCACAGAACATCCTAGCAGATCCGTATCAAGATAAGGTACCCTTGATGACACGGCCAGTACCGATCTGGGTCTGGAAGGGGTCGTTCCGGTCGACGGAGCTGTCGAACCTAGAGTCCACCGTCAGTAAGTCAGTCACACAAGCAGGGAATCCTGGTCATAAGGACAGTGGGCACCTACTTTGAGCCGTCGGTCAGTCTACCGGTGTAGTGAATGGTGACAAAGTCGCCCTTCTTGGGGAAGTCGACGCCGTTGCCGGGGGACTTGAGTTCCTTGGTGACACCCATTGTGATTTCTGATGGAGAATAGAGGAAGAACGAGAAATATCTGGAGTTGAATTGAGATCAGGGGAGGGAGGAGATTTTTGCTGAATTTCCATCTCCAGGGCGGGGTATCTCAACAAAGCGCACAGGAGGTGGGGGCACACCCCACCATTGTAGCTTCTCATTGGTCAAATTTGGCAGAGGAGATTATATCATCCTTGGCATGTGATTGAGATCAGTTACTATCAGTATCAGTTATGAGCTACAGGTATCAATCTTCGACTCTTGGATGGCAGTGACTTGTCATTATTGCTAGGAATTAATTCTAGACTTCATTAGTGTAGGTCTATATACATTGTCATTATTAATACGTTAATCTAAAATGACTTTTATCCTCAATTGCCCATATTCGTGAGAATAGTTGAGCTGACCCTAGACAAGGATGTTAGTAATGCAGAAGGAATGAGCAATGATCTACTCTAAACTACAAAGCACAGCGACAAGAGCTGATGTTGTTGCGTTCGGGTACCTACCTAACAAATTGAACCGAGAAGCTCGTGCCAGTGTGCGACGACCTACTTTGGGATAGTCATGCATAGCACAGTCTATTTGTGACTGCAATGGCATGAATCTGTGGTGTTGGATCAAAATGTAGTCGTCAATTACGAAGAGCCAAGGGCATCCCGGCTGGAGTAAGCCGTAGGTAGAGATCTTGACAGATCTGCCACGCTCGCTCTGAAGCAGGATGCCGAGAAGCCATGGCTAAAAGCCAGTGCATGCCTTTCTGTATGTATCTTGAAATTAGCTCTGAATCCTTGGCTCCGTGCTTGACGCGAGAGTCCAACTCGATCAACAGCACAGTAAGGGCTTGCATGAGATCATGCAAGATCCAGCACCAGGGAGCAATGCGACTCAGCCAGATAATGTCAGGCTCATCGGGCAGCTGCGAGAGCATATTGCAGGCCGCATTGGTGCAGATCTCCGACATCTCCTTCCAGCTGGAGCTTGTAGCTTGACCACTTCGCTCCCATCGGTAAATAGCGATCCGGGCAATCGTCATTTTGGCGCTATAGAACTGAAAAGCAAGGCACCATCGCTGCGTTTCAAATGCCGGGTCCTCCCGAGGGCGGCTGAACTGGAATGGCTCCGGCAGCCTTCTTTGCAGGGAATTGATAGTTGAAATTAGGTCTTCAAGGGCTTTTTCCACTGAGTAGCTGCTCGATCTGGTGGTTGCCGGAGCGTACAGAAGGTTGATTGCGCATCGCATAATCCGGGCTAGTTCAACGGTGAACAGAAAGTAGAGCGACGCGCACGGCTTGACGGCGGGAAGATAGGTTTCGGCATCCGGAGCTGATGACGACAGCAGGGATTTGGAAAGAGTACGTCGAGCGTTGGCATCCGCGAGCAAGCGAGCAACAAACGCATCCCCAAACTGGTCCTCGTCAAATGGAAGGGGCAACGGCGCCGTACAAAACTGATTCGCCACGCTGTACGGCCGACCCGTCATGACTGACAGAGTAGTTTCGAGGATGACGATTGACCACCAGACTCGACAACGAAGCTCTTTCGAGATATCCAAGGTATCTTTGCTAACGCTCCTAAGATGAAGACCCATAGCGATGGCGGAACGAGTTGCCGTACCGGACATTCTCCAAGCCCTGTCAACAGCGGTGTCAGATTAGAGCAAAAAAGGAGTAAACGGTCGTAATCGAAGTTCCAATTACCTGTTCACTTGGCCAATGATTAGCAGGTAAAATGCAGCAAGTCCTTCAATTTGGGCTTGTTGAATGTCAGGGTGAGGAAGCAAAGGAGTGTCGGCCAATCCCAGCTTGCTTCCCCGGGAGAAGTATATCGATGGGTCGTGCCATTCGTCAGCCTCATCAGAATATGTCAGACTCAAATGCTGCGCAGCAATTGCAAGGATCAAGTTGAAAATAGCCAGCCATTTCTTTGGCGGCTTGGATTGAGGCTCGGAGTATAATCGTCGATACTGGTGTAGAAAGACCGTTTTGCCGACGATGGGGAACCCAGGATGCACCATATCAAAGTAAGTGTCGAGAAGTTCGTCTGCGACGTCTTGCGGAGGGATAGTAAATGGCTGCACCGAGACATCAACCGAGAGCTCCTCACCATCCAGGAAATAATTGACGGAGCTGATCGAGTCTGGAAAGAAATCGTCTTGAGTCTCTGGACCTAACCATGAGGCGTCCAGCCGGATCCCTTTGCGCTTCAATTGATGCAACCATGACCTACCAGAGTGTGCACCGATGAATCCCGTCGCCTGACTTATCTTGTCCTTGTTGAAGTCTTCTTCGATGGGATCGGTGGTTGGAGTTACGAGGCGGGTAATGGCGTCGATGGATAGATCGCTGCTCGGGCTGAGACTCGCAGGCGGCGTCTCCTGTGGAATTGTTAGTCCGAATGGTTAGGGGGTCTCAAGCAATTCAAAAGAGACTTGCCTTTTCCAGAGCTTTAGCGATCAATGGCTGGTCCTTGGCATCGGCTCTCGGTTGGATGCGCCGCAGCAAACGGTAGAATTCCTTCAACCGCTGCTCAAGATCCTGCAGTCGCCTCAAGATCAGGTCAGTAACACGCGTAATGTGCTAAAGCATTGAAACCAGTAGCCTACCTTGCGATCTTCTCATTCTTGTTAGCTACAAACACGCACTCGGCTTTCAGCTCGCGGCATCTCTCACATGGCGATCCCCCAGTGCATTTTGCCTTTTGCTCTCTGCAACTAATACAAGCTCTGCTCGCTCGACGGGCCCGAGGCTTTGCCGTTGTGATGCGCGGTAAGCTGACCTTGGGTAAAGATTGGGTTGATGGTGATTGTAGCGGACTATCGTCTTTCTGGATACCACCTGGTGAGCCTTCTCTCTGACGCTTCCGTATCTGAAAAGCCTGACTCTGGGAGTCCATAGGGAAAAGGAAAAAAAAAAAAAAACAGTCAAGTGATAGATTCAGACATAATTGAAGAACTGCACGACGATTGTCTTATGATTTATCTGGATGATGAAGTCATTCAGACCTGGACCTTGCCATTTAGAGTGCAGAGCAAGTAGATCAGGCCCGAGCCACATGTGTATGGGCCCACAGCTGTCAGCTGGGCTGTTTTCCTTTTGGGGAATTAGTTTTCCAGAAAGTTCTTGTCGATTCCTCCCCTTTTCTGGTGTCGCGCAGCCACAGACGTAATTGTTGTTCTAGTAGACAGCTGCAATTGAACAAATGGATTCAGGGACAGTTCAATTACTTTCTTGGATCGCCAATCACAATGGAGTCCATGATCAGTGAATCTGCCCGAGTTGATCTGCATAGATAAACAAAGTGGACTGGACAGTTCAGGACTCAAGAAGAGCGGGATGACCTCACCGGAGAAATGATCAGCCTGAAGGACCCACGGTCAAGCCACTTTCATCAAAACAATTCAGCCACACCGAATGATCCAAGCAGATTCTCCAATCATCAGGATGCGTCTATTGTTGTGAGCTACCATGGTTTGCGTCAGTTTGTGGGGATTGCGAATAATCACAGTACTACACCCGTTCTGCTTGCTAAACAAACGCACGGCTGCACGGTGCACCTTACCTCCAAGCTTGCGCCAAAACAATCACAACCTGTGTCGATCAAGTCGGGTCGCTTCCGAAGGTTCCTAATTGCTCTCGGAGATACGGATACATAGCTTCGAGATACTGCTGCTCTGCTGCTATTCAAAGCCAGGTCACAACTGCTAGCAGCCTTTGAGTAGCTAGACAAGGAGCTCAACATGTTCGAGAGCCACGACTATGTTGCTATTTCTGGCAAATGGCTAGTTTCACTTCCATTAATCTACTTGAGGATATGACTGATCCAGATGACCTTGACGGTTCGGCTCTAACGGATGTCTCGATGAACTTTATTGAACTACAAATCAAAAAGAAACAATGTCAACCGATAGCCGAGGTCCCGAATCAAGTCGTCAACTGGTCAACTAGTATTCCGTGTTATGCATCTTCCAATGAATTCCTTTGGGTGACATCCTGTCTCATTTACACTAACCTCTTCTGGTCATGCAACTATAATTCCAAGATTAAAGTAGTCAACATCCCGAGTTACCCAGTCTCAGAAAATACTCAAGACGTATTGTCCTCATTGTTCCTTTCAAACATATCTGCCAGAAAAAGAACGATACAATCCACCATACTGACCCTATATAGGACAAATACCGTACAAACCCTCACAAAACAAAATCCACCCATCAAATCACCACCATGCCATAAACACAAAAGCGCCCAACTTTTATACATCAAGCACTTTTGTTTCGCTCCCCGACACAGGAAGATCAAGTACACCTTGCCCTCCTCTTCTCAATATAACTCGTGATCGGCCCATCCCCGCACCGCGCATGCCTCACCAACTCCTCTTTAAGCGAGATCAGCCCATCCCGCAGCGTCTGCACCTGGCACTGCAGCTCGCGTTTCGCAAGGGATAGGTCCTCGAAGCGGGATTGCAGTTGCTGGATGTACTGCTTTTTCTTGGAGCGGCATTTCGTCGCCGCCACGCGGTTCTTGTGGAGGTAGCGTTGGCGTTTGATGGTGTCTGTTTGGGGGTCGCGGGCGAGCGGGGAGGCTGGTTTGGAGGATGCTGCTGAGAGAGATCGGGGGTTTATATGCTGAAACTCTGGACTGGGGTGCGGGGTTGTCTCTGCCCAAGGGAAAGGGCTTTGGTCGAAGTAGAGAGGTTGAGAGGGGAGGTAGGCGTAGGTGTAGACCTCAGCCGGAACCGCGTAGGTGTATGCGTTGGGGAGGTTTTTTGACACTTCTGGGGAAAACTGCGAGAATTGGCTGGCGTAGGGGGACGGTGTGTAGTAGGCGGGTTGATTTGACGAGAAGGATTCCGCTGTGGTTGTGGTCGTGTAAGTGCCCGTTGAAGACAGATAGTATGGTAGTAAGTTGTAGTCATCCCGGCTATAGCTGGGAGGGGGGTATGATTCTGTCATTTGAGTGCACATATTACGTATATCACAACGAGAGTGGAGAGTATAGATGAAGAGAGTAAGGAGTAATCAGTCTGCCTGAGGACTTAGCAGCCATGATATATGCTTGCCACATCGTAAGCTACACAGGGCAGTATGTACAGGGCTGACATCTGCGCGACATGATTACGTTTGAGTTCTTTTTGCCTAACTCAAACGCCTTGTCCTGAACGTACTTGAGATACTTTTACGAGTCATTGGTGGATGAGATTCAGCCTGTGTCCCAGATAGGTTTGTGCATGGTAACCGGACTAAGCGGAGATGACTGGCTCTGGCAACAGATACGAGTTGATGCTCTCTTCCCGTGTCGCTCTTGAACCCTGATAATCATCAATGATATCAGGACTTACACTAAACGATTCAAACCTATCGCAGTGCGAGGTGTCTATTCCGAAAGCAGATACCTCTTGCCTTTTCGGTCATTATTCCGAAGCTATAAACAGGACGGACTGGTTCATTAGGCTTGCACGTTGACTGTGTCGGGATCTCGGCCACAGTCCATTACAATATTCTACTTCCTCTGGAAGCTAGAACTGCCAAAACTCAGGATTTGGAGTCTTATCTGGATCCCAGGTCCTCTGGTTGGTTGATACTTAGGAGGAGGCTGGTTACATGATGCGTGCATGGTGGGGATGATCTCCATTATTGTTAAATGGGACAGAAAGTACCTTGGATGGTGGCGTTTGACCTGAGACGGACTCCTCTCTCAGAATACTGTTGACCATTGAGACATGCATTCATATCAAGAAGACCTATAAAGCTGCACACGGTGGACAAAGGTCGACGATCGATCCACTCGACATATTTCAAGGCAAACTGATGCTCGAAACTCATCTGCATGTCGACATACGGTGTTGGAGATCATTTCCGATTTTGTTCTCATTGGTGTCAGGGTCAGAGTCAGACACGGGCCAGCTCGAGCGATTTGGGGTTGCCAAGGAAGAACCACCATCAGGCCATCGGACCCTCAAGTGAGGTAATTGAGACGATCCATGTAATTTTGATTGGAATATGAATGGTTCGGATGCGGTCCCCGACGGTTGAGTCGACAATCACAAAGACATACCCAGGCCAGAAGTCGGACGCTGGCACTGGAGGAGAATGAGGGGTAACAGGATCAACAACACTAGCCCCATCACGAAACAGGCTCAATCAACAGACTGTCAATAATCTCGATGGGATACTTTTCCGAATCTACCAGATACCTTGCTGATGTTGATTGGATAAAGGATGCCTTTTGGCTCTGATGATGACGCGGACATTGGATGTAGGCGTCTGGAGTTGGATCATACAATATTTCGCTGCTTTGCGGATGGTCTTTGATGGCCTGGAGGCCCTCGACGGCTACAATCGGCCAGTATGAAATAAATCGTCATGGTTTGTAATCTTCAGTCCATCTTCCTCTGTTTGAGTAGATATCATCGGGAAACACGAGTTCTACGATGGAATAAAGTGCGTGCGAGGTACCTCCAGAATGTCTCCTTGGGTGTCGGAAGGATTCTGGCCCTTCCTATTCGGTCAGCCTTGTCTCCAGCTGTCTTCTATTGGCGTGAGGTGAGGTACTCGGGGAATTTATCAAAGGTCCCGCAAACTCAATCCATGTTAACGAACGGGGAGACAGGCAGTTCTCAATGTCAATAAAGTGGAGCAGTGCACAGGTCACAAACCAGTTCTGAATCATTGACTTGAGCCTCGTGTTGACTATGAATAACGGGAGTCCTCGATGCCTATCACATGTGTCCAGTGTCCCACAGATAAGCGTTTAGCTCTGGGCTGATCGAGGACATGGCCTACTATCCATGCATTATCAGACATTTTTCAAATTGGAGGAAATGATCCATGACCAATCATGGCCAGATTGACGAATGTGGCTGTCTGAGCAGTGAGCTGGAGCAGTGCTAGGAGAAACGCCTGCGTCTAAAGCCGGGGTTGGAAGCAGTGTCGCTGAGCATCAAAGGACATCTTATTCGGATGAACATGGCCCAGATCAGACTCTCGGAGGACCCTGTGGGAAAGACTTGTGGTGAAGTTCTCGGGGAGAATACCTGACCAAGACCAGATGTCGAGAATACCTTGTATGCTGCTGCTCACTAAAAGCTGCTACGACCTTGGCGAACATTATCCGAAACCATTATAGGTATTGGTCAGCCACATTACCCGATTTGCTTTGGGTCCTCCTGTCTCCGCGGACTTGCTGAGTTTTCTAAAGGCCGGAATGCGACTCAATCTCGCTTCAACACGTCCTGAGTGCCGGCTCCAGTCAAATACCCTCCTCTCAATGATTCTCATCTGAAGTCGAAGTCGCCTGGCAATTGACCTGCTTGAGAGCACGCAGTTACAAAGTCAGTACAGCCATATTCGAGTCCCCTCGCAGCTGCTGCACTACCATTAGCAAAGCCTTCGTACTTTGTGTTGAAAGTGCTTCACGCTCACAGCTACACTAGCTCAGTCCTGGGGACGGATCCTCCCTGCTCCTCTTCGTGAACAACGATGCGACCGAGCCTTGATACTATCGGCACGTCGGTATCTGCTTCTGTGCAATTTTCTCAAATTTGCGTGTGGAAAGCATGGCCTGTGGAGACGGAACTCTTCTCAGTCGTCAACGGTGATTTCAGAAACCAGGTCTAAGGTTGGCGCACATATTGACTATTTGCCCTTCGTAGGGAGGTTACTGCACACCTTTACTTGCGAAGAGTGAGCACTACCTCGAACCTGTCTGGCTCAGCGACTGGGGTGCATTTAGTTCCACCCAAACTAGCACATCTTGTTCAGGATCCAGCTGAGCAGCCTGAGATCTAGTAGTCGCGGTACAAGAGATGGGCAGCTCAACAATAATCCTGTCCCCGGTTCTCCTGCAGCCTTTTGCCGTCGAGGAGTCCAAAATCAATTTGTGTAGCGGGACAAATGTACTTTTGACGGGAGAGCTGTAGATGTATTGATGACGGCGGTGGATGAAGGAAACATCGAGCTAGAGGGGGGAAGATAGTAGTGTTTGCACGGGTAGTAGTGGGCTCCAGCTGTATAAACCGCATAATTCGCACTATACCCACACAGATGATGCTCACCCAAGATGTCAATGTGTGGAAAAGTGGGATCTGTCAGAGTACATCAAGATGCAGCTTTGGCTTTGAGAGACTTACTTTCATGGCAGCAACAAGACACAGGAGGTGCTCGACAGTTTGGAATTGTTTGTCTTTTCCATGACAGTTGGTACGTTGCAGGTATTGCACATGATAGTAGACTTCAATAAAAAGGCTCTATTGATTGATATGATGAGATGGTCATTGGAGTTTTGATGTGATGTTATGAAGGCATGTGGTGGTGGTCTGAGAAAGAACCTTCGAGCCAGGGGAGAAACCCCGTCAGCAAAGACCGCCCAAGAGCAATTCAGCTCATGGCGTTCTCGATGACAGTTTCCGCGGACAGACCCGGTATTGTGGGACATCTTGGAGTAATGTGCACATCCTTTGCAGGGGATTACCTCTAGACCGAATTCCTGCCTTGTCAAGTGCATATGTTGGAAGTGTTCAGTACTATCTTCCTCATTCATACTGGTTGAGAGATGACAACAGATATGATTAACATAAAGTGTCGTTCTAGCAAGAAGGGCCCGAACGTTTCCTTTCGAGCTGAATGGTACAGATGAATGTCAGAGAGGCTGGTTGGAACGCATCAAGAGGTACTCCCCATCTTTCTTTCATCGAGCATAACATCGAATTTTTTTATTTGGCCAACTTGAACACACTCCGACACCACGACTGCAAATTCTCAAAAACGAAACAAATTCCATCTACGGCGCTAAACCATCATCCACTGATTCAGCAGATGTGATGTCCCCAACCGTCAGTATTCCTAAGCGCCGACATGTCAGGGTCCAACACGTCCATACCAAGAGTCCACTGGCGCTTAGCCTTTCCAAAATAACCAGCAGATAAATGACTTAAGGAGTCCCTCGACACATTTCCAATTCTCGCACTTCGAACGCTGTCTCAAGCAGCACAATGTCTCTCTCAGCAATATGTCTCATCCTCCTCCCCACCCTCCTCACACCAGTAATAGCAACATGCTACTGGCCCAACGGCGACACAGACAACAACTACACCCCCTGTCCCAACAGCAAATCCTGCTGTCTCAAGGGTGAAGCATGCCTCTCCAACGGCCTCTGCTACGGCGCAACCCTCAACATCGCCTATCGCGGTGCCTGCGCCGATAAATCCTGGCCAGCCCAGGACTGTCCGCATGTTTGTCTCGATTGTACGCGTCTTCGTTCTCCTTCTCCATTTGCCGTCTGGCTTTGACTAATTTGAATACAGCAATCCCCGACCACTGGGCGAACCTCTACTCGTGCCCCAATTCCTCGACGAATGTGTTCACGTGCGGGTATGCGGGGTGGGCGACGGACGTCTGCAGTGCGAATCTGGGGCAGTGGCAGTGGGTGAGTGGGGATGTGGAGGTTGCGAAGAATGGAAACCCGAGTCCGTCCGCCTCTGGTTCTGCTTCGACGCAGCTGGACATTATCACGACTACGTCGTCGGTTTCTGGTGTGTCTACGGGGACGCCGAGGGGAACGATTACGGGGGATATCGTCACAACGACTGGGTCTGCGACTGCTACGGCCACAGGGACAGGGACAAATACTCCGAAGTCGGATGCCTCTATCTCTGCAATGACACTCGGGGCGGGACTAGGGGTTGGACTAGGCGTCCCGCTACTCGTTGTGTCTGGGTTACTGATCTTTTTTATCCGAATGAGAAGGCGAGCGCCGGCACCGCCAGCACCACCGGTCAGTGAAAAGCCCTACCCCGGAGCTGTATACTACCCAGGCCCAGCGGAGATTGCCACGCAGAGACACAATATGGCTACGGAGCTGGAGGGGTCGAGGCATGATCTACCGGATCGGCCGGAGTTATATGGTAGTTAGTTATGCTCATACTTGTATTGAAATGTACATTTCTAGTCAAAGCTGCCACCACCCCGGCGTGGACCACAGATCCATCGTACTCGCCTGCCCCTGCACATCAGTCCACGCCGTGGGACTCACCCAACTAATATAATCCCAAACATCCTGACTCGACACGCCCAGCTCATTCCCCGTATACGCCATCGGAACGGTCTGCGGGACCTGGACCCTGGGCTGCAAATCAACCGGATATACCCGCCCCGGGGCAACAGGAGACGTCCCATCCGATGAGGCCCCCGACGCTGCCATCAACCCCAACCTCGCCAACGACGCCCGAAAAATCCCCGCAATAAGATCCAGACTCGGCCGCGCAGTCGGCTGCCACGCCTCGACGCGCGCAATAGCAGCCATGGCGACCTCAAGCTGCTCCCTGCACGACTCCACCATCTCTATGTCCACATCGTTTTCAGCCTCCGCGGCAAGAATACTCAACATCAGCAGCGGCACCAGGCTCGCCTGGAACCCATGCCAGATAACCCCCCACGCAGCCGGGGGGCTCTTCACCTGCGTCTCAGCAATATCGCGTATCGCCTGGCGCGCGAGGACCTGGCACTTCTCAATCGCGAGGCGCTCTTCGGTGTGGAGCGTGATGGCAGGGACGCGGCGGAGGGCATACCGTAGCAGGAACGGGCGGTAGAGGAGGATGCGCAGGTTATGCAGACTCCAGCGCATGATGGTGCGGGCTGTATGGACCGAGTCCGGGCATGGTTCGTACGTTTTCAGGAGCGGTGGGAGCTGCGCGTACCAGTTTGTCAGCTCGGTGTCGAGATCTTGGAGTTGGGCGTAGGGCGGGAGAGGGGATGCGGCGAGGGCTTCCTGGGCGCGGGTGGCGATTTGGCAAAAGCGGATGTTTTCGAGGAGGATGAGGGTGGTTGATGTGTTCTGTTCGGTGTTAGTTGATGGGTGCAGGACGACAGAGGAAACGGCGACGTACCGCTGGCGGCTTCGTCGAGACGGCCGTCGATGAGCGGCCTAGCGTTGGCCGTCCGAGGGTCATGCAACCCCATGTATCGAGGCAGTAGAGCGACCACCAGATGCGCCGGCGCAGGTCGACGGGCACAGACGATGACTGGAGCGGTCTGCTCTCGCTCGCGTCTGTGTCTGCGGTCTCCTTGTGTAGACCCAGCGCGGTGGCCATCCGTACCGCGGCCCCGATGAGCACGTACGCCAGGTTTGGCTGGCTGATGTAGTGCAGGTAGTGGCCGGCCATGATGCCGAGGGTCTGGACGGTCTCGATGTGTGCGCTGCCGAGGGATTCGAGGGAGAGGTGTTGGCGCGCGCGCTTGCAGTACGTGATGTGCGTGGTGTCATCGCTGGGGTAGAGGGAGATGCTGCCTAGGGCGAGGACCATGTTCATGAGGGCGAGCCAGTGCTCGTCGCGCCTGGTGTTGGATACGTAGGTCTGTCGGAAGTCGGTTTCGTCGAGGAGCGGCATGGAGGGATGGATGAAGTTGAAGTAGGCGTCGATGAGTTGGTCGCGGGCTTGGGACTCGGTTGATGGGGTTACGGGAGCTCGCGTTTTCACTCTAGGCCTGTTTCTCGATGGAGTTGTAGTGAACGGTCGAGCCATTGATTCCGGATTGACCCAGCTGATCACCTTGAGGACGGCATTGATGGAAGAGATGCCCAGGTAGGTGGACGGCGGACGCGTTGCCATGGAGAGCGCGTTGACATCATCCGATACATCATCCTTGTCATTGACAGCATTAACTTCACCAGTATCAGCGTTTCCCATTGAAATCGCCTCCAAAGACGATCGTGAGTGCTCCTCCCCCGGACGCTCAGGAGGCTGCGGAGGGGGCCGATCCGAGCCAAGTATACTATCTCGCAACAGATCCAGGAGCTCCTCGCGCGTCAGAGACGCGAGCGACTGCAACGAGACTGAAGGAAACAATCTCTCCAAAACAGACCGGTACTGACTATCGGGATGGGAACCATGGTCTCGCGTCCCGCTGTGTGGCACTCTGGGATCCGAATAGCGGCACAGCTCCGGCTTTTTGTAGTACAGACACGGCTCACAAGGATGCGTCCCGGTGCAGCGGATCTTGCGTCGACGACATTCCTTGCAGGCTCGTAATCCTGGTCGTCTTCCTCGCCGTTGTTCTCCAGTCGCTGTGCGCGGGTTGCTGTGGCGGAGTTCAAAGGTGTGGAACATTTTCAGTGAACGTTTTCATAGCAAGTCGAGTAATCGTTGATACTTTCCTCAAAGAGCATTTTCGAAGTTGTCAGTTGAGTAGATGATCGGTTGTAATGACTGTGTAGTGATCGTGTCAGGGTGTCCAGACTCCCAGCCCCTACTGCTGTCGCATAATCGATCATAATAGTGATAATAAGACTATGGCTGAAATGAAATTGCATTTGCCACAGTACCTGCCCCGGATTCTACCCCGCACAGTTAGATTACTCCAGAAGCCAGGAAGCTAACACGCAAAGTGTGACAATCCGGTGTGATGAGCATACGTGCTCTCGGACCCTATACACCAAGATAACGCATAGTTGTCTGAACGCATCACAGTCTACTGACTAGCGACTAGCAGAAACAGGACATCGCAGCAGTTATACTTCAGGCGCCAGACTTTAGGCTGTCGAGTACGGAGTTGTCCATTATTCTGTCTCAGTTTCTGACACCCTGGCCTTAGTCGGTTTCAGATAAGGAGTCTCCGGCTAATGTTGTCAAAACCCGAGTCTGCTTCACATATTCATGGGAAAATGGCCACAGAATTAATTTCAGGGTCCCGGGGTCTCAAGTTACAGAATATAATATGTATCAAACAGCTCATTTAGATAGAGGTATCAAAAGACTCACGGGAGCTGGGCCCATCCCCTAATTCATATCTCCCCTTGCAACTTTGTAACAAGATCAGACAGGCTTGGCTTGATCTGAAGTTCTGCTATCCGTCTTGAACCTTCAAAGCCTTCTTACAGAATGGCATCCTACCAACTGACGATGGCCAAGTGGATGCGAACTGTTAGCGTGGAACCTCAATGCCGAAAGAACTAACTCATATCAAGGAACGGGATTCTTGCCTTACCTTATCAGGAAACTGGTTAGCTTTGGACCCCGATTCTTGATCTACTGTCAAAAGGCCCAAGTTCGAGGCTTTGAAGTCGGCTGGGAGTTAAGCTCATCGGATCGTCGGGTCGAAAGCCGGTGTATGCTGAAGTCTCAGATTTTAAGCGCCGACGATGACAACGTCATTTTGTCGTGCATCTGACTGTGAATATGTGACACCCACTCAGCCATTGCTGAGCAGTACGCTTCCCCGCCGTAGCACTCTGTGCTCGCACATGGTGACAATGGCCATCATAGCTGCCTTACGACGCATCGATCATGAGAACGTCACATGATGCTCTCGGCTATACTTGACTTGTCTCACTTCATCAGAGATATTTCTTCCCCTGACCAATATCTGCCCCCAAACATCAAATGGAACGCCAGGTAGACTCAAGGATCCGGCCCATACTGACTACAAAACTGAAATTCAGCCCCCGCCAGAAGATACAGACATGCGCGAGGTTCGAACCCTCCTCCACTCCCTCAAACTCTCCCGTTTCAGAGAAGGCTTCGTCACTCTGTGACGGGACAGCCTCCTATACAACTTCAACTTGTTCGAAAAGTAGCTAATTGCAAGGTCTTGAATACACAACAGGTATCGAGCGCGCTCAGACTGTTTACAGCGAATGAGCTGCATGCGGCCCAGGAAGATCACCTGGAGAAGACATTCAAAATATTCGATGAACAGGATGTTCTTGAGAAGACATCGACAAACCGTGATTCGGAGATTATTCCCGAGGTATTGAAGAAGGGTCCCGCATGATGTCGCCTATTGCCAGAGGTAGCTTAGCCTTCGAAATGAGTGCTAATGTGCATCAAAACTGATCTTCCCCCGAGGACTCATTGCCGCGTCAGCGTAAGCGCACCAATGAAGGCCCAGGTAGCGACACGCCCTGTGGTCATGCACTGTTTCACCGGAAATAAGGCTGACTACCCTCCAGCGCTTCCGTTGCGGGATTCAAGTCAATCAGAATAAACTTGGCCAGTTCCACAGACCACAGATCAGCATGACTGAGTCCGATGGTGAGATCCCCCTGCAGAATACGACGATGCCGATCAATCTATTTCTTGTAGGTCCTGACCTTCCGGCGCGGTTGAGGTTCTTCTGCAAGCTATGAGAAGGGGATGATCTCCCAGAAATAGTTTTGCAGCGGACCGTCTCGGCGTATGAGGTGACTCGATGCGCTTTTCATAGAGCGGCTGAGCGATCGACGCAGCTGCTGTATGTTTTGCTGCGATTTCCGGCAGATTGTGTGAGCGCTCAGGTTGACTGGTCGCCATCGGGGGACTTTCGTTTGGTAATGAATCATGGATGCCCTTCCAGTCATTGAGAGCGCTTGAGGAGGATATGGCAAGCGGATGATCTGGCCCCAATGTTCTGTTGCAAAGCTCAGAACATTTTCCCATTAGGGCCAAGGCGTCTTGCAGCTTTTCTTGTGATTTCCAGGTACAGGCCAGATTGTGCATGCTGAGGAGAGTATCAGGATGTTCAACCCCTAGCACAGTCTTCCTCATCTCTAATACTTGCAACTCAAGCTTCTCAGCTTCATTTAATCGTCCCTGCGCCCCGTAGGTTGATGCTAGGTTTGCCATGGTATAGAGAGTATCAGGATGTTCAGCCCCTAGCATAGTCTTCCTTATCCCAAATACTTGCAGCCCAAGCTTCTCAGCTTCATCCCATTGTTTCTGCGCCCAGTAGGTTGATACTAGGTTTTCCACAGTATGAAGAGTATCAGGATGTTCAGCCCCTAGCACAGTCTTCCTTATCTCTAATACTTGCAACCCAAGCTTCTCAGCTTCATCCCATTGTTTCTGCGCCCAGTAGGTTGATACTAGGTTTTCCACAGTATGAAGAGTATCAGGATGTTCAGGCCCTAGCACAGTCTTGCTCATCTCTAATACCTGCAACCCAAGCTTCTTAGCTTCATCCCATTGTTTCTGCGCCCAGTAGGTTGATACTAGGTTTTCCACAGTATGAAGAGTATCAGGATGTTCAGCCCCTAGCACAGTCTTCCTTATCTCTAATACTTGCAACCCAAGCTTCTCAGCTTCATCCCATTGTTTCTGCGCCTGGTAGGTTGTTGCTAGGTGCACCATGCTAGAAAGAGTATCAGGATGTTCAGGCCCTAGCACAGCCTTCCTCATCTCTAATACCTGCAACCCAAGCTTCTCAGCTTCACTTATTCGTTCCTGCGCCCAGTAGGTTAATGCTAGCTCCGCCATGCTAGAAAGAGTATCAGGATGTTGAGCCCCTAGCACAGCCTTCCTCATCTCTATTACTTGCAACAAAAGCTTTTCAGCTTCATTCCATCGTTTCTGCGCCCAGTAGGTTGATGCTAGGCCGTCCATACCGGTAAAAGCAGAGGGATGATAGGGCCCAGTTTCCTCCTGGTTGATCCGTATTAGCTCGGTGTATAGCACCTCTGCTTCATTCCATCTCCCGTCTTGGTAAAGGCAATCTGCAATATTCTGAATCAAATCAATATACTCTTTCCACTGTGCTGTGAATTCGTCTTCATATGCAAGAGATAAGGCATGTGGGAGGTATTCTCGCCAGAGTTCTCGATTTGTATAGTGATCATCTGGGAACACCTTGCGTATCTGATCAGCGGCCCTCTGGATCCAGTGACTAAACAGTGCATTCTTTTTCAACCAGTTCCTTGCCGCAATATGCACAAGCCTATGTAGGTTTATGCTCGTATCTTGCCTGTTGGTAAACGCGTATGCATTCAGAAGTCCCAAAGCATCAATTCCGCGTTTCCGGGATTTTGGCATGGGAAGAAGGGACTGAGGGATGTTTCGTGGATTGATACAGGCCATGAAAGATAGAAGGTCGGCTGCCAGTTGGTCCTGGCGTTGGATCTGTTTGAATGAGATCAACCACGTGGTAATCACTGGGTTCTGGAGGTCCTTATAGCGTCCTTCATCCTTGAAGTCTTCGCTCAGGAGTTCCACTACCTCTGGCTCCTGTTCTTGTAGAAGCGCAGAGTAGGTGGACAGGTTCAGGCCATTTTTATTAATGTAAGCCGATGCCTGCGTGATCGCCAACGGCAGAAACGCCAGTTTCTCCAGAATAGCAACTGCTGTGGGATGATCCTGAAGCAGACCCTTATCGACCAGTGACCTTTCGAGAATTTTCAACGCAGTGTCCTCATCCACATCTGGAATAGAAATGATATTGGAGGATGTTAGCTCCACAGCAAGTTTCCGGTTCCTTGTGGTGAACAGAATGCGGCCTTGTTCATTCTGAGGGAGAAAGTCCTCAAGAGCTGGACCTGTGCGATCATCTGACAGCCACATGTCCATGTCATCAGCATTGTCAAAGATCAGAAGCCACTTCCCAGCCTGCTTGGAGCTGAGGTATCTTTTGACTTGCGCCTTAACTTCTGCCGGCTTCACATCAGGAAGTCCAACAGCTTGCGCGATATTCAGGTACGTCTGCTCCATCACCTCATAGCTAGTGCATGCAAGCCAGAAGATCGAGCACTCCGTATCTCGATCCCGTATGCGGTATGCGAGCTCCAAGGCCACCTGGGTTTTCCCAACCCCTCCTAAACCTGTAATAGCAACTTTTCTGGGCCCGTCTTTCATTGTAATTAGCTCTTGTAGTCTGGTGATTTCGTTCTGACGACCAACGAATCGCGGATTCCTTCCCAGTGGGACCATATAGTGACCCATTCTGCTGTTGTTCTTTGCCAAGCCCTGAGTCATGAGAGAGACGGGCATGGCCGACAGCAACCATTTCGCATAGGCAGCTGCTGTCAAAGCCGCATATCCCTGCCACTCTTTCTGCTTATGAGAGTCGCAGTAGTCGCATATCCCGCGGATCACCAGGGTCGGAAGCCCGTCCATAAGGCCTGCTGCCTCCATCTCGAAACAGAGTATGCCATGCCGTTGAGCGAGACCGTCTCGAGCTTCAGAGTCCTTCATCACTTGATCTCCAGATGCGATCAATCCATAGTGGATATGAGGTGTGTTGGGTGTACGCGGCAGTCGGCAGACTAATTGGTCTTTGTCGCACTTTTCGCAGTTGCTTTTTGGGTCGGCATGACGGTACGAGGAACGGAATAGATAATCAGATTCCTGATTAGGGGGCGAAAATCGGTCTTTCATGTCAGGATTTCGATCCAGTACATCCCGCACTATTGTCGAAATAGCACCCTCTTTTCTAATCATCTCCCTCGACTCAAGGTGAGCCACATGTGTCAGAAGGGTCTGTGGTGGTTTGTTTAACGTGCCTATCGGCTCGAATTGTCCGCCTTGAACTGCCTTGCCGTAATCATATTGGATCACTCCGCTGTATCTTCCGACTGGTTTGCTGACGACCACATCACCCAGGCGGATGTCATGGCTGGTACTAGGCACCCCTCCTCCGATTCCCACCATCAGGCCAAACTGGACCCGTGGGAAGGTCGAGACCATGTGAGCCATGACTGTGGAAGCAGATATGGTCCCATATATGCCATCTGGTAGACAGGCAATCACGATATAATGGCCGTTCAATTCACCAAGGACGTATGCATTCGGATCAGTGGAAGGCTTAGGCAGGAGATTATGAGTCTTGCCCAGCATGACGCTTGCCGCTGCCATCTCCAACGGCAGGGCGCATATCCACGCGACTGTGTAGTCATCGTGCGTTAAGGCCATGGTTTCGAAAAGAGAAAGAGGACATAATTAGTCGAACCAGGCTGCTAAGGAACGCACGAATGCAAAAGCGGAGGAACTCTAACTGCGTGCAGGAGAATGTCAAGGAAGAGATGGAAGGGTAGGAAGGAGGAGGGGTAATCAGCTGTGTGTTTGACGAGGCTGTCACTCGAGCACCTGCCTATTGGTTGATACCTTGTCACTGAGGCACTCAACATATTCATTGGATAATTCATCATAAGCAGTGATTTCTAGCCTCTTGCTATTAACTCCATTGTCAGCCTATTAGCCCATCTATGTTCACCGAATTTCCCATTCCGACAGAACTGAAAATACGGACAATGGCATTTAGCCTTCATCGGATCCCGTATGGCAAAACTGTCAGCCAATGCATGGAATCAGAAGGGAATGGACCTCATGCTGCCAGCCCTTTCGCTGCTTGTAGCTTGCTAAGCACTTTCATGTGTGGAAGACATGCAGCTAGCCAGGAGGTGCTTGCAATCAGATGCATAACTTTGGACTGGCCACATAATGTGAAGGTCACGACTAGATATTTCTGATGGATAGGTTAATACAAGCACGAGCTCATGTGGAACTTAGGAACGGTCCGCTGGTGCCACTACTAGCTACATGTCATGATGCAGTTCCAGCTAAATGATTACATTACATGCTCATCAGCCAATGAGAAGATCCATGGTCTGCTTTGTCTTATCTCACTCACCAGGCTGTCTGCGCTGGAGGATGTTTATCTGCTATAGTTTGTTCCACAACAGTATCAATTGAAACCACTGCAAGCCTCTTACAAAACAAAGAACATTATAGAAAGAAAGGTTCACAATAACAACAAAGACAATTTATCAGGCCAAGCCCCCCTGCACCACCCCTTAGGCAGTGATAGCCTTCGACCACAAACCCAAGGTAAAGTGCGAATTACACATATTGGTCGACTGCCAATCCTCCGCGGGCATGACGTCAACTAGATATTAAGAAAAGAGGCAAGCGAGCAAACAATTATGACTGCGCCAGAGCATTGACAGACAGTCAATGCTCAGAGGCGCAAGTATCGCTTAGTTAAGTATTTTGAGAACCAGTGTGTACCCTCCCAAAGCATCTTCAAAGCGGTACAACAACACTCCCGCCCTACAACGGGGGGCTGACCTCCTGTCACTCACCACATAAGGGCGCAATTCCAGATGGATCGTTCTTTGGGAAACAGATTAGCAGCAATGTCTGGGACCGGCGAATCCTCTCTCCACCATTCATTATCTGATCGAGAGGAAAGGGGACCTTTTCGATCAGTGCAGCGCAGATAGACAAGGAAGTGTTGGCTTTAGTGGTACTGGGTTGGTTAACCACTAACTTATAGTGTATACAATGTATATCTGACCTGTTACTGCATGGTAAACTGTCTTTAGTCAAAGGCGTATGTAGACGCTTGATACTTTATACAGTTACTAATCTGGTATTACAGGATGAAATCCTTGACATAGCGCGTCTCTTTCTTATGTGCGCACCTGTCTGATACTGATCTATAGACTATGAGAGAGGTTCCCCAGCTGAAGCAACCATGCAATGGAATGTCAGTGTGATTGTTTCAGCCCTGTGTATTGATCGACAAAAGGTCATTTAAAAGGTCAAGCTACAGCCGAGAAGAGATTAATCCGATGGCACCGTCAGAACAAGATTTTAGGCTAAGAGCAGCTTCTATAGTTTTGATTGCGCCGATGTACATTCTCACCCCGGATTCTCCTCCGGATCCATACACGGCTAAATGGCCTTCAGAATACCATATAGTACGATTTAGCCGTCGTCGCCTATATAGTTCGTGTGGCCTCGTCCTTTTCCACTGTATGTATAGTGCCATTCAGAGCTCCATTGCAAGCGTCTGCAGTCTCAGCCATCTGAAAATGAAAACTCGCTCAAGCACAGCCTTCATCTCTCTCCTAGCCTTTACGACAGCAGCAGAGGCAATCTTCGACAATGTCACCGTCTTTGCGCCGCCATCCAACTGGCCTTCCCACAGCACCTCGTACGGCCGCACCCTTCTACTAGACCATACCAAGACAGACCCCGTTCTCCTATCGACCTGGTCGTTTTTCCCGCCGGATGGGACATACCTCCCAATATACCGGTCAAAAGACGGCGGTCAAACGTGGTCTGATTATTCAAAAGTCCACTTCTCCAACAACGGAGGCTATGTCGGTGGTTCTATCTGGCAACCGTTTCTCTATGAACTCCCACGGCAGGTAGGCGAGTACCCTCGAGGAACCATTCTCGCCTCGGGCAACGCTATCCCGCACGATTTCTCGTCGACAAACATTGAGGTCTATGCCAGTCTGGATAGAGGGTGAGCCACTCCAAACCAATCGCGAGAAAAGTGTTGCTCATGCTCATGACACCGAAGATTCTCCTGGGAATTCGTCTCCGTCGTCGCGACCGGCGGCCCACCAAACACGACCAACGGCGCAACCCCGGTGTGGGAGCCCTTCATATCCATGTACGAAGACGAGTTGACGGTCTACTACTCCGATCAACGGGATCCTCTCCACGGCCAGAAACTCGCCCACCAGTCGACACGAGACCTCATCCACTGGGGCCCCGTCGTCAACGACGCAGCCTATGCGGACTACACCCTGCGTCCCGGCATGACGACGGTTGCTCGGATCGGAAACGGGAAATACCTCCTTTCGTACGAGCTGGCCAACGCCCCCGAAGTCCCGTATGCAGTCCACTACCGTATCGCCGACAACCCGCTCAAGTTCGACGAAGCAAAACCTTACCTGCTCAAGTCTGGAGATGGGACGATCCCGTCGGCATGCCCGTACACCGTCTGGACGCCTGTTGGTGGGCCGCACGGTACCATCGTCATGAGTGACGGCACCTACTCGGAAGTCTTTATCAACCGGGACAACGGCAACCCCCACGCCTGGATCAAGGTGCCTACCGGTAAGGGCGTGGCATATTCTAGAGCGTTAACAGTCATGCCGGATCCGAGTGTAATATTGTTCTTCAATGGGGGTATGTATGGTGAAAACAATACTACCGTTACGGCGGGAGAGTGGGTTGTCCCGAGGCGTTCCGATCATCCCTTCTCCACATAGCTCTCTTACGATCACAATAAAACTGGACATGGCAACCAGGGCATCTGTTTCCACTCTACGGAGCCTGGTATAAACGTTTTATAATGATGTTTCAACGCATGATCATTTTCTGTCATATCACAGGCTACAACCATTGCCACTACAAAATCCGAAACTCCTCATACTTCCCTCCCTTAATCTCAGCAAGCAGCGGAGTAGGATGTTCTTTCTGGTCCTCCGCGATGCCCTCGACGAAGACGTTTCCAACCATGCGATAATGTACCACACCTTCGTCGGTATTGCGGAAGCCCGAGTCCCGCAAGGCAATAGGATTCATCATTTTGCCCGAAAGAATCAATAGATCTCCTTCCTGAATGTGCCCAATGCCAATGCCGAACCCGCCCGTTGGACAATCTGTAAGCTGAAAGACCGTCATTCCTGCGAGGGATGCCAGATTCCGCAGGAGCTGTTTCACAAGTTTCGATGACTGGGTAGACTCGGAAAAGTCGTCAGGAGAACTGGCGAGTTGTTCCAGGGCATTGAGGACATCGTTGATTGCAAACTCCTGTTGCATCTCACCACGGGCAAGAAAACCCCAGACTAAGCGTTCCGTCATGTTCGCCTCGTCTACACCATTGCCCCATTGGGAGGCTGGCTCTTTAACTGCATCCAGAATCCTCCGGGCAATCTCCACAGTCTCCTCCGGGAACTTGTAAACGATTCGAGTCCTGCCCACCCTTCTGGCCCAGAATCGTAGCACGTACTTGCCCGGAAGCAAGGACAAGTTCGTCATATAGTCTTTCTGCTCCCAGTCCTGGAGAGACTTGTCAATGTCCTTGTATCTAAAACGGCTTCTAGACGTTGAATCCCGATAGTTGGGCACCCACGACGGGCTGGGGTTACCCAGGATATTCCCATGGGGCCCGTCGTAGAAATGAAACATGTTGAATACGAAATCAAGCCCTTCGTAGACCAAAATCCAGAGCGTGATTTGGAGCGCCACCTCGTCCGCAGTATATTCGTAATCGACGGGGTACTTCTCCTGGACGCCGTCGACCATGGAGTACAACGCGTAGAAGCGGTCGAGGGGATTGGAGCATTGGCGCTGGACGGTCAGATCGAGCACATCCGCAAAGGACGACAGACTTTTCCGGCTGGCTGCGATATCGTGCGCAAAGTCCTGCATAGGATTTGACTGCGCGAGGCGTTGCCGCGCTTCCTTCACGCGGCTCAGGAGCTTCTGGTGGTATTCGATGTCGGCTGCATCGCCCACGCGCGGAGCCACTTTGTCGAGGTTTCCCACGAACGGGGCCAGGATCTCCGAAAAGTGTCGACCCAGATCGACTAGCGCGGGGAGCGTAAAGGGGATGTTGCCGACCATGCACACGGGGAGCTTCTCGGGTAGATAGTACTCCTGGAAGGTCCATATGCGTCCCCAGTATGGTGCCGAAACGATGTCCAGAAAGCCCTGGATAGCGTCTAGAATAGATCCCATTGTGTCGCGCCGGTTCTTCCGGCTCCGCGGCCGCGTAATCTGCCGTACGTCCTGGAGGATCCCCGCCAGGCTGCTTTCTCGTCGCTTGATCATCGACATTGTCTGTTCCATGTTGGGATTTATGGGTCCCAGCCATGCAACTACAGATGTCGCGTCCTTGTAGATACGGCCCATGAGAGGGAGCTGGGTGTTCTTTTCTTTGACGTTGTTTTGATCGATGCAGATAAAGTCAATCCAGATGAGGCGTTTCTTCCGAGAATGTCGAAGGCATTGCAGCGCTGCCTTGAGGTTCGTTGTGACCTGAAATGGGATGTCGTCCACCAAGATTTGCACCTTTTCCACAACAGTTCCCCAGACATATGAGAGAGCCTCGAATTGGGGTGAGTTGTTCAGAGACACGGTCTGCAAAGTGCATCTCACTGGGTCTTTTCCATTTTTGTCGGGTAGGATAGTGAGAAGGCGAATCTCCGCAGCCTCGGGATTGAGAGGAGAGTACGAAAAGGAGTCCGAAGGATGATCCATTGGGGAAGACAGGCTTTCGAATATATGCAGATCTAAGTACGAACCGGTGAGGTGTGAAGATGTTCACATATTTAAGTATTGTTGGCCGTCCGAGCGCTTTGACCATGTGGCTTGAAGGGCTAACGAAGCCTGCACTTCTACAAGTAATACAGCATTCAAGTATATCGTTGTAAATATATTGCATTATCCCTGGCTAGCCTAGCACGTAGCCTGTACAAGACCTCACTGCTGCTCGATCTCCAGATTCTCCGCATTCACTCCATCCTAACAAGCCTATAGCTACTCTGATTTAGACATAATAATATAGTATTAAAGTCTCTAGATATATTAGAATGATCTCTTAAGGAAGAGAAAGGCCTCTTAGCTTTTTTGCCTTATCCTTAATACTCTGCTTCTACTCTTATAATAATATACATATAGTAAGCTTATCCTAGAACAAGTAAGATATAAACAGCACTAAGATAAACTAAGGTCAACAAGTTCTTATAAAGCAGTAACATATAGCATAGAAAGGCCATAATTTCTGGCTTAAAGCCATTGCCATTCGTCTGATGCCGGATAAGTCCACCGAAGACCCAATAATTTGTAAGTGCGTCTCATCCCCAGAATTATCAAATTGTTCACCTGAGAAACGACAAAGATTAATCTACATACTTGAGGGTCTAGCACCAGAGCTTGTGGAAGCGCTGGGGGTCATTTGCTTCATCCGTCAGTATTTCTGCATCATGAGAGGCTCGTTGCATTTGATGGCCGACCTACTGGCGAGGCCCGGAGGCATGCCTTTCCTGGTATCTATGATTTGCTCGAGGGAGCACGAACTACTGGTGTTCTCGCCCCCGCCAACGAGTTTCCGGACCTTCTGCGACCACACGGGGCGACATATCGAGACCACCAGAGTAATAGGCAGATTCTCCCCCGTTGGCGTTGCGAGACGGAAATGCTCTTTTGGTGCAGGGGGAACAGTTCGGACGCTGGGTTGGACTCTGATTTGACTTGTACTGGAGTATTTAATGTTAAAACGGTCCTTGACTAATCCTGGAAAGGTCATTCGTTGAGAGGCTGCGAAAACATTCTTGAAATAGGATATCGCACGAGCTGAAAACGACACCCTATCACGGAGGTTATGTAGACTTTACAGCCCACCATGAACAGCCCAAGCGCTGCGTGGGGCCACCCGATCGTCTATTCTTGAGGATATGTGTTTCTACCCGCGCATACAGTCACGACTTGGATCTAGACAATCCATTGTTTGTTCGCACATTCCTCGAGAGGATTGTGGCGAGTCACTCTACGCAACTCGCAAGTTACATACGAGAGACAATCGAGGTCGCCCAGTGGAACATCTCCCGCCAGCGCGTCCTCTCAATCTTCGCCATTTCCGCAGTCGAAAAGCAGTGGAGCCATATGCAGTCGTGGGACCGCTGCCTTGGTGAATTCAAAGTTGATCTAGGAGTCATAATGCTACAACTGCATGTGTCCCTGGAATTCCTAGCAAGTCCGATAGCCCACAGCGCGAATGAGCGTGCCGCAGATTTTCAGTAACTTTTGGGGACTCAAAGAACCCCACCACCGCATTGGACGTCTCAATAGCGCCATTACCGGGCTTGTGAGCATGTCCTGCAATCGCCAGGCTTTCTAGAAGCAGTAGCTGTCGCTGCAGGCCACCGAGGGCTCGCTCTTCGCCGCCAAAAGCACCAAAACACTGTCCTGGGCTTGCTATTCATCCCACCCTCCTATACCGCCTCAATCTTCAATATGGTTGAGCCCTATGGGCCGGGTGCGCACTATGCGTTGGAAGTCAGGTATACCGACGACGCGAAAGAGTGGTCATTCCGTGCGTTTGTCAAGACCGCTATCGGGAAGTTACGTAGGGCCCAGTAGTTGTTGGAGCATTTTTCTTTTCGCTTTTCGGGCTGTTGCTGATTGTCTCTGAAATGGATGATGGGCCGGATTCGTTGGAAGTGCATTTGGATGCGAAGGGGGTTGACTGTGATTTTTTTGCTATGTCTTCATTAGGTAGCAGTTGTACTAGCTATAATTCAAGCTCTATAGTTAGTAAATGACTAGCTTACATTGCTCTTCTAAACCCCAGTATCTGCATTACTGGAATATTCCAATTTAGTTAAGACCGTTTTCTAATGTTATCCTGGCTCACTGCCGAGTTTGAAGGCAAATATGGCTAGAGTTTCATTATCAAAAGAGGAGGACGAACACTTAGGAGCAAGTGATGATAAGAAGTCGTAGAGTTTAATTTAGCCTGCTGTCTCAAGCATGCAAGAGCCATTAACCTCGAAGACAAGCTCTAGCAAGACTGAGAAGCACATTACAGGCAATGGGTTGGGACATGTCCATCTCCTAGATTTAAAGCAATAAGCATCAAGAATAAGCGACCACCACCCACTTTTTTTGGATTTAACTACTGCAACAACCTTATGGGTGGAATGATCTGCCAACTGACTGATTTTGTCGCCTTCCAGAAGGGCATAATCCTCGGAACGAGACCACTCTTCCTTGACTTTATCATCCTGGGATCGAAGAAGGCGTACCTGAAGATCACTTTGTGGCGTCTGTACCAGACCAGCAGTTGCCTTCCTTCGGCGAATCTCAAGTCTAGGGATGTGGAAGTGATGGACAGTCTTCCATGTGTGGGCCCATCTTCATCTAGCTGAATCACCCGCTTAAAGCTGAAGGTCTTGCAAACGGCTTCCGCCCAGCCGCGACTGCTCAGACTGCGGTTGTTTTTGAGTGTCACAATTATTGGAGACTTCGCGACCCTTCTGGGGATAGCGAGTCCGTAGTGCTTTGGGTCCATGAGAGGTGAGGTGTGATGACCGGATCTTACCTTGCTGACCAGCTGGGTCTCTATTTAATCACTTGATATAAATTCTGGCCATATATTTTGACCATTTTTATATCTGGCCGTGAACTTCTTCTATAAGGCACTAGGTTGTCTTTGAGGTTCACAGGTAATATGATTGCAGTCATCCGTTAATTCCAGATCTTTACCTTTAGAACCTCTTAAAACACGCTCCACCAAGTATTTGAATCACTTTATCATGAAGAATACTAGACGCCTTACTAGCTAGCCTAATGGAAAACACATTTTCGATGAATTTGGATATCCCCAAATGTTCAAACGCGTCGAAACCGGATGAGGAATGGGTGGCTCAGCTGAGAATCACGTCAGTTGTCGACACCACTTAATGATCTTCATCCCAAGAGGCATCGTTGCCTTCAGGTGTCCTTCTTATAGTGGTCCAGTTCAGATGTTGTCTAAGAGGAATGATAGAGGGAAATTAGGGATTCATTTAGTGTCAACTTGCGCCTATGAATTCCAAAGCCCTCAGATAATGAGAGTGTAACCTAGCAGAGACTTTGTTATTACAATAATATCCTATTAGCCTTGGCTTGAATTACGTCAATAGTGACCATTGATGGACGCAATGGGGGATTGGACCAATATTCTGAGGCAGAAAAGAGGATGTTGCTAGCTAAAGAGTCTAATGATGGTGCAATTACAAGTCAAAAGCATGCAAGCATGTGACCCTAGTCACCCTACATATCATATAAAGAAGATAAGTCTTGCACAAAGAAATCTGTACCCTATCCCTTACACACCATTAAAGGCTACATACAATGATATGATTTAACAGCTCATTAGCTGATATGTAGTCTGGTGATTCCATGGGGAATCACCATTGTAACCTTTTAGCTGCCTAGAACACTACCTTCTTACACCTTTATAGACACTAAAGATCTTATATACTATGACTCTAGTATACTCTAAGAGTATAGTTATACAGATCTAGAAATTATAAAAAAGTTTAAGGTACTTAATATTAAGATCAGCCGTACGGTCTTTTCCTACTACAATGTAGCTTATGTTGATTACTCTATAATGGACCGTCTGTACCAGGCAAGGTGACGTCGGCCACATGCGATAAGAACAAGATCCTCCAATTGGATCTAAACCATGACTGGATGTGGCACTTTGACTGTACCCTCGTCTCACATCCAAGGGCAATCAGGCTGTTATCCCTCCACCAAGCTGTGGAAGTCAATCAACCAGCTCATCATGGCTTGCTACACCTCATACACTTCAGCTTATAAAAGCAAGCATCCTCAGTCAAGAAGCTCCTAAAGCAACAATCTCATAGCCCTTTCACGCCTTTGAAAAATCAGCTATACAGCAGCTTATTAAGGATTGCGGGATGGCCATGTATAGTGCAGCCCTTCCAGGGAAGGAGAGACATGCTCTACGTGCAGCCAATGAGAAAGAGAAGCAGAAATCAAAGCGATTCAGACGCCAGATGACTCCTAATGAAGGAATCTGCATACAAAAAGCCAGGGCTCTTACCTGGGCAATAAATGAGCAAGATGATGAGGTTGTGGTATCATCTTTTGATTCCGCGCCTTTACTAGAACCCCTGAAACGCGCTCCACCTAGGTGTCCAAATTGCTTCATTACAGGGCATACCAGAGATAGCCGCCCTACATGTGAAGCAGCTGGATCTATCGAAAAAATACATTGATTCGGTTGATTTGGATAGCTTCAAATGTTCGAACGCGGCGAAATCGGATGAGGGGTGGGCGGCTCACCTGGGAGTTACGTTAATACTTACGCCTGAATCATATCTGTCCTGTTGGCTGATTAGCTGGGGCTACCAATCATCATTCCCGTCGAAGGCACGGAAGTATACCGACTCCAACACCATCGTTGCATTCAGTTTCTGTAAACTGCAGGTGGTACAGTTGTTGCTGGGATAAGTAGCTGTGAAGTGCTGATACTGTTGCGAAGAGTTGAGTCCTAATGCTTTACAAAAGGCCTTTAATCAGGTGTACTGCAGCAAACTTCACTCTTGCATTCTGCATGCATATGTGGCTGAGAATGACATCCAGATTGCAAGGTATCTCATTAACACATCAGAACAAAGGGAGAGCAAGGAGCCTTATGGGGTAACAAACGCAAGCAAGGACGGAATAAAAGCTGTTACCTAGCTATAAGCCATACAGGATGAAAGGACAATGTTACAATGCATATTTACATGTAGCTAAATAGAAGCGGTGAGCTTGATTGTGGGCAAGGGGCCTGCAAGGACGCATTACTGTAGGCATGCTCCAGCCCGCAATAGACATGATAGCTTGTGAAAGTCTACATGATTGAAACCTACTGTTACATTGCTCGTGACTACTGGAGATGACCATACAGAAGGACGTCCACAGCCAATAAGTCTCACTTCATCACATCAAAATGGTGTTGCTTGTTATTTAATTAGACGACAGAATAGCTTACTCTAAGTTGACCGCTACTTTCTAGTCATTGTGCTGTGAGATCCTCAGCCTGAGTACTGGAAATAAAAGGATATAGATTTCTTGTCTTCAGAAAACATTCATCTCCATTTTCCTTACCTCACATAGTTTAACCAGGGCTTACACCAGCATTGCAGTTCACCACCACCATGACTAAAACACAAGCTGTGGCGGAAAAGCATGACGAAGAATCTACCAGCCAGTATGAGGTTGGCAGCAGGATTAGCACACTCTTTGCTGAGGAATTAGTCAAACAGTCAGGCATAGCACAATTCAGCCAGAAGCCTCTGGTCATCTTTGACAATGCCTGCGGGACAGGCGCGGTTTCTAGTGCCCTTCACAGGACTCTTAAGGATGAGACTACGCGCAGCTGGCAGTTAACCTGTGGTGATATATCTGAGGCCATGGTTGAGGCTACCAAGCAGAAGATGAACAAGGAAGGATGGCGCAATGCTGAGGTGAAGGTTGTGGATTCGCAGGACACTAGGCTCCAGAGTGCGCACTATACACATATCTTCTCAGCTTTTGGTAGGTACACAGGGCCACATGAAGAGGAATTTTCCTGACTATAGCAGCTTTCAACATCTTCCCAGACGGCCAAGCTGCACTGAAAGGTTGGGTGCTCCTCTTTCCAGTGATGGCAGGAAGATCTGGCTGATATATGTAATCACACCAGAATGTTTTAGAATTCTTCAACCAGGAGGTACACTCGCTGTTTCAACAGGGCATTCAGGTAAGTTAAGCATACCAAATAGCACATCCATTCTAACCAGAACTTCAACACCATAGCCGTATGGATAACACTTATCCAATCTGCCATTGCACGCATCTCAGGCGATCTTCCTATTCCGACAACAGATGATCTGTTCAGAGTATACAACAAAAACTGGGCCGATGAGACCAGTATCCACGCTCAGTTTGAGCAAGCAGGATTCACGGATATTAAGATTGCCATTGTGCCAAAGCAATACCCCCTCCCCGTGCAAGAGCTCGCCGAGATCTGCAAGATCAGCCTCCCTCATGTAACAAAATTCTGGACGCAGCAGCAGCGGGATCTGCATTACAATGAGGTTCCAAAGATGGTGTTGCGAATTCTGGAAGAAAAGATGGGGAAGAATGGACTTGCCTCCATGGAGGCTGAGGCGTTTATCGCAACAGCCAGGAAGCCATGAGAGCTGTGAATGACAGTGCATCCTCTAATCCTGGCTAACTAACGTTCCTGTTTAAAAGTGGCTTTTGTTTGATAGTTTAATCAATCCTTTAAAGTTCATTTGCCCAGCTAACTCAGTCAAATTCTGCAATATACGTTCCCTAGCTGCACTATATGATATCAATTTCCCTCAGAGCTCGTTAGAGCTCCCATTTTAAGGCTAGAATTCCACTAGTCTGCCCAACTCGTCTCTGTAAGACAGGGTCTAACAGACATATTCGGAATACTATAATGAGACAATATCAATCAACAAGTGCTGTAGGGGAAATGTGATATCATCATGCGCTTATGCAGAGACGAATCTCAATAGGCACTTTTGACAATGCCCTCCCTTTGCTCCTTTCGTATAGGACCACTTCAGGGCTCGGAAGGGCTCAGATGCGGTTAAACTTAAACATTATACAGTGGAGAAATTTAGAGCGGAGTCGACAGTATTCTGAACCGAGATACACAGAGAAATAGAAGCACTTAAGCAAGGCTTCAATGAGTCCATGGCAGTTACCCGACCATAGTCACAGTGGAGCATAACATGAGAATAGTATGGAACGTGTTGAGCTCCCTCCACTCTGTTCATCGCATCAGTTAGATGTCTTCTACTTTCCACCCGTGATCTTGACCTGCTTACTATCTTTGGTGGACTGGCCGAATATTAATGGCAAGGCCTTGTCCGTTTCACGGGCCAGAAGCTTGTTGAGGTGGTCCAAAGCTTATAGGATGAATGGTCAGGCAGCTGCAATGATTCGCTCGGTATCATGCATACTTAATCATTGAGAGTTATTGCAATTGTGGACAGCTTAGATATGTGTTCTAGCCGTCACATCACAATATATGTATATATCAGCAAACTATCCATCATTCGGTGGTCAGGCCACTGAGTTCTTCGTCTTTGAAGGGTATCACAGCTATCACCGTTCCGAGGGCATGAAGGAACCCTAGCTCATGATGTGGTAAAGCCCGCCATTTTTTGGATGATTTCAAACAAGGCCCCATCTGAGAGTAGCGTCCAGCCATCCACCCGCCTTGCTTGGGAAAGGGTTGGAAATAATCCAGCGGTGCCTGCACCACAAAAGTAAACGATGGGTCCACATTGGGCGTCTTTTGCGACAGTCGCACACCATACCATTCAACGCAAGGGATCCTACTGCCAGGCCAAGACGTAAGACGTCCACTCCTGACCTACCTCTAGTTGCTCTGGAAAGAAGAGCAGATCTATCAAACTCGATCAAAGAGCGGGTACAACCTCCCGGCACCTGTACGACTATAAATATCCTCCCCTCGGTAGCTCTGATCGAGTCATCACTGTTGCTCAATCTTCTATCATCATCTAAGGGTTGCATAATGGCATGACTGGAACATTCTTGTCTATTTCCTACTCTCACTGCAAGTCCGTCTGCCCTGCCCACCGCAAGCCATGTGGAGGTCAGGGATGCGGAGATTGCAGCAGGGCTCCTTGGGAAGGATCCCGACGCATTACAATCGATTCTTCAGGCTGGCTGGGCTCTTATTCTCCACACTTTCTGCGACGTAGATAGTGTGCTGTTCGGCTTCAAAAGACTAGCCAAAGATTATTTGGAGAGCTACTCCTGCTCCTGTGTTCTAACGTCGGAAACATCGTTGCTGGATCTGTCGACCGGGAGGGGCCTTGATTTATACCCTGTTTCAATAGAACAACAGGAGCAATATAACACGGGCCTCACCATTTTAACGCAGCAAGGATGGAATACATATTGCGGGGAAAATGGATGTGCACCGAAAATGGCAGTCCTCCCTGCAGTGCAGGACTCCGGGGACTTTGGTCTTCAGGCGGGAAAGCACAAATATGCCATCGAACTCGTTGCAGAGATAGGGCGTGACTCAATCCACTTGCGCCTTAAATACCAGGATGCTTTTCTCTCGGAAAAGCAAGCGCACGATGTGGCTAGCACCACCAAAAGAGCCATCATCCTGTGCCTGCAATCAACCCTGGAAGACACTGTCGGAAACGCAAACATGATAAGCGAGCGGAATAAGGCAGATTTGGCTTCTTGGCACTCAGGCACTTTCCCTCTAGCGACCGGCTTTGTCCACGAAGTGGTGCGTCAACGCTGCTTTACAGATGCCGCTGCACTCGCCATTTGTGCCTGGGATGGGGAGCTGAGCTATGCGGAGCTGGACGATTTGAGCGACCGCCTCGCCGTCCAGCTTGTAGAGAAAGGAGCTAGGCCGGGCGTGTTCGTGCCGGTTTGTTTTGAGAAATCCAAGTGGGCGATTGTCGCATCACTGGGAGTACTCAAGGCAGGGGCCGCATTTGTGCCTCTAGACCCGTCCACTCCGAAGGAGCGGCTAGAAAACGTCCTACGGCATGTAGAGGCGGAATTCGTCTTGGCCTCTTGCGATCATGCCAATCTCTTTACGGCGACGATGATGCACTGCATCGTGCTATCTGACGTGACTATCAAGCAGTTTCCCAAACCCAATATGAGCATCAGTATCCCTCTCCGGGGCAGTGACCCGGCATATGTGCTGTTCACCTCTGGAAGTACTGGCACTCCCAAGGCCTGTCTAGTTGACCACTCCGCCTTCGCAGGAGTGTCGACGCATGGGGTGGGCATGCGGATGGGCCCGAACAGCCGGGTTTACCAGTTCGCTTCCCACGCCTTCGGTATGGCCTTGATTGATATCTATTGTGCTTTGACACTTGGCGCTACTGTCTGTGTCCCATCTGAAGCGGAACGGACGGGATCCCTTGCGCAATCAATGACTCGTATGCAGACAACATGGGCCATTTTGACACCGTCCATCATCCAGTCAATTTGCCCTGACGACCTACCGCACCTTCAGACCTTGGTAACTGCGGGAGAGCCTCTGCCACGAGAGTTGATGAGTCTCTGGGCGCAGCGGGTACACTTGGTGCAGGGTTATGGCCTGACTGAATGGGCGGGCATCTGTGCTGCCAGTGAGCCCCTCAGCCCGGCGGACAGTCCGGGGAATGTAGGGCGGCTACCCACCTCTCGCATGTGGCTGGTCGACCCGGAGGATCCATCGCGCCTGGTCCCTGTAGGAGCAGTGGGAGAGATGCTCTTGGAGGGTCCATGTTTAGCGCGGGAATACTTGAAGCAGCCGGATGAGACATCAATGAGTTTCATCAGCCCTCCCTCCTGGCGCTTCGAGTATCCGGGCCCATTTCCAAATCGGCTTTATCGATCGGGGGATCTTATGCGCTACTGCGATGACGGTACTTGCATCTACGTTGGCCGGAAGGGCACGCAAGTCAAGATTCGTGGTCAGAGAGTCGAGCTTGCGGAGGTAGAGTATAACGTCAGGAAGAGTTTTCCAACAACCCAAAATGTGATTGCAGAACTGATCGTTCCGCGAGACGACGAACGACCCCGTCTAACAGTATTCTTGTTGTTGCAATCTACGAACCCACTACCTGCGAACCCCGACCAGCACGATTCCTTCCTCGCGCCGCCGTCGGAGGCCTTCCGTGCCTACGCTGAGACAGTCAGGGCTGCGCTGGCGGCTGTACTGCCGCGCTACATGGTTCCAGATCTCTACATCCCGCTCACACGGGTCCCTTTGACGCCGACTGGCAAGAGGAGTCGCCGTGATCTACGTCGAATCGGCAGCGAGAAGACGCTAGCGGAGCTAACTTCCTATATCCATGTGCAGCAGGTTGCTCTCATGCCAAGAAGCTCTCAGGAAATTCTCTTACAGGGCATTTTTGCTCAGGTACTGAAGCGCGACCCTTCGACAATCAGTGTCGACGACAGCTTCTTCCACATCGGCGGTGATTCCATTGCTGGTATGCAAGTCAGTGCACTCTGCCGGAAGAAGGGGATTAATATATCAATGCAGGATCTGTTCCGATACCGAACTATTGCAGCGCTGGCTCCACATGTGCCTGTAGTGGATGGTATGTTGGTCTGCGATGATGCTGCAATCGACAATATAAGCCCGAAAAATGAGACAATGACTCAATCCTATGACCACGAGACATTTGCTCTATCTATTCCCCAAGAAATGTTCTTTGCCAGCTGCGGGTGTGTGCCCCATCAAGCCAGCCAGAGACGAGTGATGCGATTAACTCGTCTCTTCGATGCGGAGACAGTTCGCAATGCGGTAGTGCAACTAGCACGGTGGCATCCAATGCTTCGAGCACGATTTACACAGAGTCAAACCGACGAAGGCACCAGCAAGTGGCAGCAGAGAATTGCACAGCATAGCCCGACGGTGTTCGCCTTCCTTACGATTCACGTCTCCAGTACCAGGGACATTCCGCACATTGTGGCGGAGATGCAAAGCAGCTTGCATATCGAGCAGGGACCGATTTTTACCGCAGCGCTGATCTACTTGGCCTCAGAGCAGTATGTCGCCCTTGTGGCACACTGTCTGGTTGTTGATGAAGTCTCTTGGGCCATCCTGAGCCGTGACCTAGACGCAATGCTTCAGGGACAGTCTCCAGCAGTGGAGCCGAAGACGGCACTTTCTTACGAAAGATGGTGTCAGTCCCAGCAGTCGAGAGACAGAAAAGGCCTCCTCGCATTGGTCCAAGCCCAAAGGGGGGAAGTGCCTAGAGGCGAAAATAGTCGTCGGGTCTCGCAGATGCATTTTACTCTCGATAAGCAGGTCAGTGCCGCTCTAGTAGGCAATTGCAACGACGTTTTCCGCACCGTGCCAATCGATATCTTTCACGCCGCCCTTCTTGTCTCGTACATCAGATCATTTGCCAATGCAACCGTTCCAGTGATCCTCCTCGAACGGTCTGATCGCCAGATCCAAACCAAGGAGGCTTCACAGACAGTTGGCTGGCTGAGCAAGATTAACCAGGTGTCTATCGACATAGACAATGAAATTGACATTGTTGAGGCAGTCAGGCGAGCTAAGGATGCTCGGCTGTGTACGGAAGCCACAACTTTGCCACGCGTGGCTGCTGAAGAAGATATAGAGGACAGAACCGTGAAGCCGCTGACCGTGCTGTTTCGCCACGATCCCCACGAGCTCTATACACCTGGACAAGAAGGAGCCGTGATGTTGGATCGGCAGCTATCAATTGAGAAGGATACTGCCATTCAAGTGGCGGCCTGTCAGCCGCTGGCATCGGTCGACATCACTGTTTCCTGCGTCCAAGGCTGCGTTCAGTTTACCCTGCAGTACCAACATCAGGCAATGGCCTTCCCTGAGGTCCAGCGGTGGATGCAACATTATGAGCAGACTCTGCGAGATGCAGTGACTCAATTGACGAGCATGCAGACAGGATACACGCTCTCCGACATTGCCCTCCCCTCGGCCACCTACGGAAACCTACAGGAGGTGCTTCGATGCTCACCCATGCAGCAGGGAATCCTTTTGTCCCAAGCACGAAACCCCGAGTTCTATCGCGTGCAATCCTTTTGGAAAGCTCACCCCCCAAGCAATCTGCCACCGGGCATGTTACTGGCGCGCTTTAGGACCGCCTGGAATAAGGTGATTGCTCGCCACGCTATCCTGCGGACCATTATGGTAGAAAGCCGCGTCCACCCCGGAAGCTTTGACCAGGTGGTTCTAAAGGAGGCGCCTCCTCGCATTGACGGCATCTGTCTTCCTCGAGGGGATCCCATCCCCGTCCTCCGGGAACGCAGTCGCCTCTGTGACTTGCCGACTGACATGCCTGCTCATCATTTGACCATTTGCATCACCACAAAGGAGGTGTACTTAGGTCTCACAATTAGCCATGCGTTGATCGATGCGCAGTCTATAAACATCATAATGCGTGACGTCGGGATTGCGTACGACGACAAGCTACCTCCGCAAGCCCCATCCTATGGGAAGTACATCCACTACATTCAGCAGCTGGACCTAGAGCGCTCCATCACCTACTGGACGCAATACCTTGACGGCGTTAATCCGTCCCTACTTCCAAGCCTTGACTACCGACGCCAGGTTGGAGAACAGCAGGCCCCTGAGCTCAAATCTCTGTCCCTTGAGGTTGAGGCGGCGCCACGGCTGCAGCAGGTCTGCAGCAAGCATGGAATCACCATCTCGAATTTGTTTCAGCTGGCCTGGGGCCTGACCTTGCACTGCTACACCGGCTTGGATGATATATGTTTCGGGTACCTGGCTGCTGGCCGAGATATCCCGCTAGAGGAGCTGGACGACGCTGTGGGACCATATGTGAATATGCTGATCTGTCGAATACAGCTGGCCGGTAGCGAAACGTTGAGCCAGCTGCTACAGAAAAATCTGACCGACTTTATTGACAGTTCCTCCTCTCAGCACACGCCACTGGGCCGAATTCTTCAGTCATTATCTCTCTCAGGCCCACTGTTCAACACGATTATTTCCATGCGGCCCCCCTCACACGAGGTCCAGAAGACTTCATCTCTGGCAATAAAGCCAGTCTGGGAACTTGACCCGACAGAGGTAAGCGTCGTTGTCGTACTTTTACAACTTCAGTACACTAATGCCTGTGAAACCTGATCTCCAGTTCGATTTGGCCATCAACGTCGATGTTTCCTGTGACTCCGTCCAGGTCACAATGAACTACTGGAGCACCACTTGTTCTGACGAGCAGGCGGCTAATCTCGCCAGTACGCTGCATAGGAGCCTCAGCAGCATCCTGGAAACCCCGCATCTCACTCCAGCCCAGCTTGATCTATTCAGTGACGACTGCTACGCCCAGCTCCAGGAGTTGAATGCGCAGTCTCCAGAGCGAGTCGAGGATTCCGCGACAGATCTGATTGCATCGCACATCCGCTCTCAACCTGGGGCCGCTGCTGTATGCGCCTGGGACGGGAAGTTCACCTACGGGGAACTTGGCTGTCTTGCCTTGCAGCTGGCTACTCAGCTGGCAGCACAGGGCGCGGGTCCCGAGGTATTCGTTCCCATCCTCTTCAAGAAATCCCGGTGGGCAATCGTGGCAATCCTCGCGGTTATGCAGGCTGGCGCGGCGTTTGTGCTCCTCGACCCATCTCATCCGATCGCTCGTCTGCGAGAGATTTGCCAGCAGGTACACCCTCCCATAGTTCTTTGCTCAGTAGAACATCAGGAGGCGGCAGCAGAACTTGGAGATCATTTGCTTGTCCTTGGAGACGGCATCGAGGCTCCCTGGCACACTTCCTCGAATAAACTGGGCCCGCTCGAGCCGAGCCAGCCATCGCATGCTCTGTACGCCGTCTTCACCTCTGGCACCACCGGAAAACCAAAGGGAGTCGTGGTTGAGCACGCCACCTTTTGTAGCAGCGCCATGGCGCATGGGACACTGTTTGCTCTTCGACCCTCCTCCCGCGTCCTACAGTTCTCCTCCTTCGCCTTTGACGTCAGCATCTGCGAGATCCTGACAACACTATGCTTTGGGGGCTGCGTCTGCGTTCCCTCCGAGGATGAACGTCTGAATGATCTTGCGGGCGCAATTAGCCGGCTAGGCGCCAATACGGCTCATTTCACCGCCTCGGTGTTACGTCTTCTGTTACCAGAGCAGGTCCCTTCCCTAGAAATGGTGGTTGCTACTGGTGAAGCAATGTCCGCGGCAGATGTGGATCAATGGGCGAATCATGTACGGCTGATGTGTGCCTACGGCCCAGCGGAGTGCTGTATCTACACGCACGTGCAGTCACAGATCGACCGCCAGGCCGACCCGCGTAACATCGGATACCCTACAACCGGCCTCGCGTGGCTCGTTGATCCTAAGGATCATGATCGCCTGGCACCCCTTGGTAGCGCTGGAGAGCTGGTTATTGAAGGGCCCCTGGTAGCTCGCGGATATCTCAACCACGCGGGAGAGCCTGGAGAGGGATTCATTTCAGAGCCACGGTGGCGCTCACGATTCTCAGCTGGTAGACATGGCGCATTCTATAAGACCGGTGATCTCGCGCGTTACGGTCCAAAGGGGTCCCTGCGTTTCATTGGCCGTAAGGACACGCAGGTCAAGATCAATGGTCAGCGGCTAGAGCTGGCGGAGGTTGAGTATAATCTACAGCAGGCTGTGTCGGTGGTCAGCGATCGTCCGCTCGATGTCCTGGTGGATATCGTTTCTTTTGGTAATCTAGCTTCCGACCCAACCCTGACCGCATTTGTGGCGTCACGGATGATGCCCTGCGACTACGCGACTGTGAGCATGGCCGACCTTGCAAAGGAGGTGTCTTCTTTAGTCCCCAGCCTCAGAGCTCACCTGCACAAGCTCTTGCCTCAGTATATGATACCACGCATGTATATCACACTTGATAAATTCCCCCTTGGTAAGACAGGGAAGGCCGATCGCCGCCGCTTGCGAGAAGAGGCTTGCAAGGCCTGCCGAAAAGGAGTTCATGCTGAGATTCCAGGGACCGTCACTGTAAAGCGACCACCACACAATGACGCCGAGCGGAAAATCCAGGCCTTGGTCTCGCGCATCCTGGGTCTGCCGGTCAACCAGGTGGGTCTGGATGACAATTTCTTCCTTTTGGGCGGAGATTCTATGGCTGCGATGAAGCTCGTTGCGGCAGCGCGGTCAGTGGGTATGATGCTGTCCGTAAAGGGTGTTCTACAGCAGCCGCGACTTGTTGACCTAGTTCAGGGCCAGGGCCAACACCTGCAGCTCCCGGGCTCTGGAGATGAGGGTGCTGCGCAGCCCTGCCACCCACTACCTGGAAGTGAAAGCAACGAAGTAGGGGATTCCATGCGCGACACCATTGCTTCTCAGATGGTCTTTGATGCCTCGCTGATCCAAGACGTCCTGCCCACCACCGAGTTTCAGGCGGAAACGGTGTGTACCTGGCCGGCTACCTACTTTCTGATAACAATGCACGGATGCTTGGATCCGAGACGCCTGCGAGTTGCCACCCAGATGCTATTAGATCGACACGAGATCCTGCGCACGGTCTTTGTGCGGCAGGAAACCACAGACCATATTGTCCAAGTTGTGCTTCAACCTATCCCCGTGCCGTTCTTTGAATTCCCCTGCGATTCCGAGGATCTCTCCAGCGCCTGCGAGCTTGTCTGTAGCATGGACTCGGCTCGGGGTCTTCCTCTTGGCTATTTGGCGACGCAGTTCACGCTTTTCTCGCAGTCTGCCAATCCTAAGTATCATATCCTAGCCGTGCGACTCTCACATGCTCAATATGACGGATACTGCATGCCACTGCTGTACCGCGATCTCGCCCGTCTCTATGGCGATGACACTCACCCTTTGCCTCCAGTCACGCAATATGCCGCCTATATACGCCACCTTACCCGAGCGGAGAAGTCAAAGGCTCGGCAATTCTGGAGTCACACGCTATACGCGTCCCGTGTGCCTACTCGCTTGGATGAACTCTCGCTCGGCGCACCTGCGGAGTCCCTCATGCCGGGTTCCTTGATCGAGCTGACGACAAATATGGCCATGCCCACGCCTCACAATGGCATCACCGTAGCCTCACTGATGAAATCTGCCGCTGCGCTCATCCTGATGAGCCTCTGCCAAACCACTGATGTGGTTTTCTGCCAGGTCGTTAGTGGTCGAAACGTTCCCTTGCCTGGTATCGAAACAATTGTGGGTGTCTGCGCCAACATCGTCCCCGTCCGTGTTCGTGCCCGACCACGGTGCACCGTTCAAAGCTTCCTCGGAGCGGTCCAGGAGCAGCACATAGAGGCTCTTGATCACGAGTTTCTCGGGCTGCAGGAGATTCGCCGCTACTGCACCGAGTGGCCCATGGTCTCTCCCTTCGGCTGTCTGATTCAGCACCAAAGCCTGGATCTGAGCCCCGAGTTCTCCTTGTCAGCAAAAGTAGAATGTACAACCCGCGTCTTTGGTGGCGCCTTTGAGCGAAGTTATCTCCATCTGGTTACTATCCCTCGGGACAATCAGTTGACGGTACAGCTATTTGCGCCGCCAGGCCTGCTAGACGAGCCACATTGCCAGCGGCTTTTGGACCGGTTCTGCGAGACAGCATTGTGGCTCTCCAGTCATCCTGACCGGATGGTGGACGAGTGGGATGCATCAATATAACCATGGTGTCCTGTAACCCCATAACCTCACCATACAATTATAGTGAGGTTATTGCACTCTAGACTCCATAAATATAGTAAAAATAGAGAAGATAAAAGAGGTCCATGTAGCATCCGTCTCTTAGGTAGAGATTAGGAGGAAGGTTCTTACAGTTGGTACACTGAGAATACTGGCACATTCTTGCTATTTCAAGGGGCTATTGCAGCAAATACTCATTATTATTACCCAGTAAGCCTCTTACTGTCCAATCTTCATCTATAGTACAGCCCGATATTTTGCTACAATAACAATGACCGTGTGCATGACGTCCACAGCTCTCACCAGGATCACTTCAATTATTAAGCCGTGGTATTCCGTAGCCCCCATAAACTTGCCATTTGTGCAGGTTGACAGCAGTCCAAGGGATTGTTTACCTCCATCCTTTAACCGGTGCTCCGCGAGATGTCACTCATGGGAACCATCATGATGGCTTTGCAGACAGACTAATCTACTTGAGCATAGCTTCAATGACCCCGTATCCATCACCAACCATCTGCACATCCGTCAGGACCATGCCCGCTTTATCCAACAGCTCCGCTATATGTTGCTTGGTTCTCTCCATAGCCGCCAGAAGAACCATCATAATGATATCCAACCCAGCCAGCATTTGAGGAGCATTGGTATCCGGAACAATGGCACCGAAAAGCCAAACCTTGGAGTACCCGCGCTTCATCCCAGACGCGACATTCCGCAGAATATCGACCGCCTTGTGATCAGGCCAATTGTGAATGATGGACTTGAGCAGATATACGCGCGCGCCATGGACGGGCTGCGGTGTGAAAAAATCGTACTTTACGTATTGCAGATCTGGATCCTGCATGTCGGCCGGAATGGCGTCGATGACTGAAGCTTGATCCTCCACAATCAATTGACCCTTCCTGATCGATGGCAATTTCGTTTTGAGAACTTGCAAATCATGGCCCATTCCGCCTCCCACGTCGACGACCAATGGATTCTGAGCGTCGAGCGTGACGCCATCACTGATCGCTTTCCAGACTGGATAGGTGTCGGACCAATGTTGCTGGGCGTGGCGAGTTGTCATGAAGAGATTAAAATCACGAGCCACCTCAGGGTTCTGATTTATCCACTGGAAGGTTGTAAGATTGGTTCGGAAGCAGTACTGGAATATTCCATTCTCGTGGTCGGCTGGGTTGCGGTAGTTCGTTTCTCTGAGATACTCAGGGAAACAGCCCAGCTTATCGACAATCGCGCCACTAAACAATTTCTTTTGCATCAGCGGTTATAAATTTACCGGTTACGAGGTGAACAGGATTCGTACTACATGCCAAACCCAGCAGCGTAAGCAGACGTAGCATATAGATTGGATATAGGCGTTGGAGCGTAGGTTTCCGAGTCTATTTCAGCGACTACCTTCGCCCCGACGATTACGCGCATCAGCCGAGCTATGTCTGTCAGCGTTTGTTTACCAGTATATCAAATAGGTTATTCTTAGAAGATGCTAATGACTGACCAACGAGCACCAAGTCCGCTCCCGTCTGCTCCGCCAACTGACGAGCCGTCAAGGGGCCTTTGGATAGCTTTTCGAATATCCCGAGATCACTGGCAACGTGGAGACAAGGGAATACGGTGAACTATTAAACTATCAGGCCTCACTTTCCTATCGGGGAAATCATATAGGGAAAAACCGATGTTAAAATCTCTAACGCCTTATCCCCAGGCTTCTGGAAGATGTCGATCAGTGACTGGCATTTGAGAATGAAATCCTGATGCGACCCGGATTTTTGCAGATCCAGGGCATTCAACTGAGAAAGGATAGCCTTTGCTTCGTCGACGTTGACTTTGTGGTCCGGCACAGTCATAATGAAATTGTGAAAGTGTCACACTTAAAGACAGGTTAGAATACAGACCAGTTAGGTTTGTGGGGTAGATGTTGCTGCGATTGTAGATGAAGACGGTGTAACTCGACTTTGAAATGGAAGGACAAACGACTTAAATACACTGTTTTGGATATCGATTGGCATGCAAGGACTGCTACGTTATGGTTTGAGCTCGCTCTGGGCCATGCTCTAGGAAGGATGCAGAGCAGATACTCGAACGGAGACAGTCCGGAATGGACGTGTAACCACACAATTGGCTCACGGAAGCAAAGACATACATATGCTAGTCCATGCCTGAAGATCCATCTTGCGTTGATTGGAGTAAGGCCATTATCCCTTGTGGGCTTGCGGGATGGGATCCTTCATGGTCGCAAATCAAGGTAGCGAGGGCATTGCTCAGTGCCGTGGCCCAACACGCCTTCTTGACAAGGACATCAGAATCAAGTATCACTACAGTGACGCTTCAAGTCTATTCGGACCGCTCCTTACTCGGCTGGAGTTATGATATTCTGCCTGCCGCCGTTGCGTCTTTGTCCACCATACAGACTGCTATCAGTAAATGCTAGGAAGATACCAAACGACCTTGTGAATTGGTGTGTATAAAAGTCAAACATATAAACGGGATTGTGCGGAATAGCCAAGGAATGATTGAAAGCATTTGCATCCTCTCCCTTCACTTGCCCAAAAAGGGGGAACAAAGAGGAAATGAGACGACTATTCTCATCTGTATTCCCTGACCTGGTTAGTAATCGAAGAATCATGGAGGCACTGCTATTTCGTATAGGATACCAAGGTGGCCGCTGGACCGTTGGATACGTTCTTGCGATCGATGCTTGTTGCTAAACTCGATTGTCCGCAAGCAGTCAGTGGACAAGTATTTCATGTCATGGTCATGTCACTGAGGAATAGCCCCTTGTTTGCCCTTGCAGCAACCGTCTTGAAAGCAAGTTTCAAACGTGACAGGCAGCCCAGGGCTGCAGTACTCTAGAACAAAATTATCCTTTGTTTTGGGTGACTCAAACTCTGGCTGTAGGCTCATGTTGTAGTATTTAAACAGGTAAGCCAGGATAATAATAACTTCAGCGGACGCCAAACTGCATAGCACAGTTAACTGTCTCTTCAAAACGAACGGCGTAGAAAGCCAATGCCTCTGCTGGGGGAATAAACATACTTATGGCCGAGGCACATTCTTGCGCCCTTTGAGAATGTACATAGATACTGTTCTAGATTCTTTGAGCGTGAGTCTAACCAGCGATCTGGGTTGAAAGTTCGTGCATCCGCACCCCAGAGTTCTTCACTGTAATGCATTGTATACGCGGAGATGGAGACAATAGTCTGCCTCCAATTAGTGGCGGCTGCAGGAAGGGAATATACAAAAATACAATACACTCACCCCGGGCGGAACCACCTTTCCATCAACAACGAAAGGCTGCTCAAGACCGTCTGGAACCACTCTCGGTAGACGCCCTGGAACCGCAAGTCCGAACCTCAGCGACTCTTTGGCGCACGCAACCTACTGCGATCAGCTGTGCAAGCCGGTGGATGGAAAAAAGCAGAGTACAAACCAGGTAGTCGACCCTTTCCAAGTCAGAAAGCGCTAGGTTCCCCTCCTCGTTGGGTTGGACTTTTTGCAACGCGCTCACCAAGCGGGCATGAATGTCCTTATTTTTGAGGATATGAATCATGGCTGACGTTAGCGTAGACGCTGTTGTCCCCGACCCAGCAATGAGGAGTTCTACCGCTTCCATGACCTTTAGTTTATATGATAGAGTTGGAAGACTATCGAAAACAATAGGGTGAGATTTTGCGTATTCGCCTTTTTCATACTCTTGGAGACAGGTTTCGCCGTACTGTTATGAAAGTATCCATTCATCAGCTGCAGGAAGCGCGAGCATTACCGATAATGAGGGTCTGTATACCTTCATCAGCCGGGCCATGGGGCCGAACCCATTATCAAAGTATTGCATAATGCACAGGGGTATCATCCCGGATATCCTGTTGATGATCGGCCGCTCTTGCATAGTCCAAATATTCCGCCCAAACCCTTCCAGGGCATGTATCAACCAAGACTTGGCTCCTAATCCTTTCTGGTCTGGTATGCTTGGCGACCTGCCAAATCCAAACTCCATTATGATGTCGGCAGTGACATGCCTACTCATAAATCATGTCATTAATTCTCAGTGGCTCGACCCGCAGCAACTGGGCCAGCGCGAGCCCCGTGGGTGGCCTACCTGAAAGCGTCATAAAGGTTAACCACCTTCTTCCCTGTCATCTGATCGATCCGGTGCAACAACTCCTTCACTTTACTGTGAATGATAGGCTCAAGCCGAAAAACGCCAGTACGGGAAAACAATGGACTCAGCATCCGGCGGCGCTCTTTATGAAGTGTTGGGTCAATTTCCACGAAAACAGTATGTGGAGTATGGAATGAGTTGTAAAACGAGGGCAGTTTGGGAAATGGCCTTGACGTGCCGTAGATCACTTTATACTGATGCACATCAGTGATGTGCAATTCGTTCGGTGCTATACGGAGGGCCTTCGTCTCTACTCTCAGGACAGTATATCAGCCATGTGTGAAATGATTTAGAACAGGCGCTGGGGGGGTAGAGATAGAGAAGTCTATATCAAATTCGCTATCCGGAGGACGTACGATAAAGTTCGTGCAGCTTCTCATAATGGTTCTCTGGAGATCCTGATTTGAGGACCCCGTACATCCATGCAGTGGAAGACGCTGCTTCTGCAGGGCCAGGAAACTTTGCTAGGGGATGTAGATGAGCTAGGTATAGCTTTCTCAAACTGCGGAAAATGAAAACCACTGCCACGAGCGCAGACAAGATAATCAGCGACTGCTTCTTGGTGAGGTTCCAAATCACCAACTTCGCAGATACGAGTCCGGAAAGTGCCATATCTGAAAGTTTTGAGCTTGTGAAAGCGCAGGTAGCCAACGTATGGAGCCAGGAGTCACGAAGGGACGTGTCAATTGTCTGCTGGCGCGGGAGCTGTCTTTCTGTTATACTCGATCCTACAGGACGGTATTCGCAAGAAACAAGTAAGGGGATCAACCAAAGGTGAGGGCAACCTTGGCATTTTCACCAGTGGCCTGTGCCTCCTCCATGCATCGTCAAACGGATACTCAAGCAAGGGTTTGTTAACCGAGGATGTGTTTCACTACCGCAAAAGAGGTCGACTCAGCAGCTCAGCAAGAATCGACTCAGGGTTGGCTGGGTATATAATATCAGCAAGGGCCGAGACCACTACACTTCGTGCGCATGGTACTACACAGTAGAAGAATGCTACACTCCACTAACAATGAAAGGTAACCGCAGTATATGTGGCAACTGCCTGACCCTAATTCAGTTTGTTGAAAATAAGTCATACTTTACAATTCGATCAAGGCTGCATGTGGCCTAAAGTTACCAACTGTAACGATGATGTGCACTCCCAAGGCTTGTCTGCGTTGGCACGGTTGGCATGTTGGGTCCTGTATACAAGATGTATAGATCAACTCCTTGCAATATAAGCACAGAACCGAGAACTAATGGAAGCTTTAGATAATCATGGGAAATTTGACTAATGTACAACCAAGTAACTAACGTTAATAAATCATACGACACCCGGGTATTGCTCTGCGTCAAAATCTACCCATCCGCCGCTGCCCTGAAAGGCTGCGTAACTAGAGTCCAGAACTATAATGCAACAACTTTGAAGACGTACATTCCGATGCTTGTCTCTTAAGAGAGGTGACCCTTCCTTGGTGTAACATAAAAAGCATTCTTAAGAGACGTGAGCCCCTTCTTGGTGTAACATTGTAGGAATTGCTCTTCATGCACTCAACGACTCTTCCGCTCCTCACTACTACGGTCCCATATCTAGATCGGAGTTAGATAAATGCACGCTCATGTGGCGACCAGCATATATTCCCAGAGCGCAAGAAGAAGATATCAGTGTCTCTATCCTCTATAATAATCGTTGTCTACAAAATTTCGGTAATTAGTTGGATCGCGCATCTTTCCTTCAGAAAATGGTGGCTTACAACAGTCAATCTTCGAACACCTGGGTAATTTGCCTCATTCTGACATTTCAGTCTGGACTGCGAAGTCTTTCTAACGCTCTCCCAAACAAAAATAGTGCGAGGATGGCCGAGAAATCAAATTACTTCATTTTGTTTATGGACAGCCTAACCTGGGCGAAATCCGCGGGCGACCCCAGAAGGTTCTGGATCTAATTGATCAGTTTGCAAACACCTGCTACCTCATGAATGTTGGGCGTGAGAAGGGGAGGATCATAACTAAGGTGATTGAGGATATAAGGCCTCAAACTATGATTGAACTCGGAGGCTATGTCGGCTACTCGGCAATTCTGTTCGGTGATGCTCTGCGACGAAACGGCGGCAAACGACTCATCAGTCTGGAATCCAATCCCGAATCAGCTGCTGTAGCAAATATGTTGGTTGAGCTTGCAGGTCTTCGTGACCTGGTGAGCATCATCGTTGGACAAAGTGACGAGTCTCTTCACCAACTCTATACTACCGGAGAAGTCAAACACATTGAACTAATGTTCATTGACCACTACAAGGCAGCATACATCACCGATGTCAAGTTGTGTGAGCATTACGGCATGATCTCACCTGGCACCGTCCTCGCTGCGGACAATGTCCTTTTTCCAGGTAACCCGCAGTATCTGGAGTATGTCCGGAGCACAGTTGAGCAGAAGCGCAAGGCGGGCACACAGAACAGACGCAGAGAGGGCTACGATGTATCCGGTCTACCAGAGGTCGCTGTAACATCCATGATTGCTAGGGATACAGCTCCTAAATTCAGCTATGATGGAAATCCAAATCTGGTATACGAAAGTGAACTTCACCAACCTGAGGGTCATTGCGTAAGTTCCTCACTGTTACCGCTCTCGTAGCATTCTCGATCAAATGTTCAGGCTAGCTGATCAGTCGTACCAGGATGCCATTGAGGTGACCAGATGCATTGGTGTTGAAGATGAATGACCAAAATATATTTAGACACTGCATAGGGTAGTCTGGATAATTGAGGACGATTATTTCATCAATCTGCGAGTTATGTGATCTGGTAATTAGAAGCATCCGCGTCATTCACGCGTGGCTTCTTGGTCAACTCCTCTTTGGAAGGCTAGCCTAGCTTTGATGGGTTTAAACTATTATAAGTGTATGATATGTAGTCCTTTCTTAATCTAACTATGGTTAGGTGTAGCCTGTTTAGATTATCTATTAGACAGAAGAGAGCTTGAGGGTCACCATTCTGCATAAAGGATTCTCATGTTTATATATGTATATCCATGGGGCATGGATTTCATTATAGGCTGTAAAGCCTGTAAACTATGAACTTACCTAATATAGCTTGAATCTATTACTTATTAAGTCAGGATGAAACCTTTGCATGAAGAGTCTTATTTTCTCATATAAATAATATTTTATATTAGAATAGCTAGTATATAAGGAGATATTGTAACATCTTATACTCCATAGTTATTGTCACGGTGCTGCCGTGAATAGGAGTTGGCATCGCTGAGGAGGAATCACGTGACCTTGGGAATATCTTCACCGCACAATTCCGAAACCTGTTTGAAGCTGTTTGAGCTACGTCCTGTCTATAGAGCCTACCCGTACCAGTCTACCTGCAGCCTGGGACTGTTAGATAAGGATTAGTGAAGCTAGCCTGAGTGTCAACTACCTCTTTAACCCATCCTTGCCTGCCTGCGAGCCTGCACCTTGACAGTTATAAGATATTACGTTTAAATAGTGATTTATTTAACCTAAAAGCTAACTAAATCTAACCATAATTAGTTAGCAAGTAATATGACTTGGCTAGAAATAGTTTAGCTGCGCTAGCCACTGCAGCAGGACGAAGATCCTCAGGTTCGACCAGCACTACAACTCTGAATATGTTTGACCAATGGAGATAACAGTCTTAAAGTGCTGAACTTAGCTAGTCACGCCCTGACTAGTCGCTACTGGCTGTGGGCGGAACTAACGTCAAAAGAGTACGGCTTCCTAATAGATAACCTAATATACGCCTATTCCTAAGCAATATTACTTAACGGAGGTTGAGTATCTCAATCATAGTTCTGGGGATCGGCTTTAGCCAACAACTGGGCCCTTTGAAGTATCATCAAGCTGAAGCGGACTGGATGTGCCAGAGTTCAGGAGGTCAAGACATGCTTGTTTGAAATTTCCAATCATCCAGTCTGCCCGGTCTTGTGGCAACATGTGGCTTGATGCCAGAATGATCACTTCCATCTCCGAGCCGTGCAGCTCAGTCATGAGCTGAACTGGCCATGACATGCTCTGGAATACATCTTCGGAAATCCCAAGATGCAGAGGCTCAAGGCGATCAGATGCTCCCTCTAGAACAGCGGTGGCCGCGTTATCAAATTGATTGTGGGTGACGACACTCCCAAAGTCGGGCTTTCCTTGCCAGGCTGTGCACTGTGCCATGATCTCACTGGGCTCGATCGTCTCGTAGTCAAGAGTGCGAGTGTATTGAGTGTGGACGTGGCGGAGGAGCTCGTGAGCAGTCCAGGCAGGCTGGATACGGACGCGAATGGGGGCAGTATTGATACAGCAACCAGCCATTCGATCCACGTCAGGGATCGGCATATTCCGCCCGCTCACCGTATGGCCAAAGACAAGGTCTGTCTGCTTGCTTAGTCGAGCCAACGCTAACGCCCATGCTGCCTTGACCAAGGTCGCCATCGTGATGCCACGCGGTGGGCTCGAAAGCGGGAATTTGTCGATTCCAACCACAAACGCCCGGTGAATAGTATTGTCCCCCGAAGCGTTGCCAGTGAGCCAATCCCACCCCAACAAGGACGCCCCGTGCAGGTAATCTCTCCAAAAGCAGTACGCAGCGGGCGTACGGCGGGCCAGGCGATGCTGCATGTAGGCAGTAAAATCCACGACTGGCTGCGATAGTTCATGACCTTGATAAGCCCGCACAAGGGCACCGAGTAAGTGGGGGAGCGTTGAGCCGTCAAACTGAGCATGGGATAGGCGGAGGATCAAGATGTGCTTTGACGGCTTGGAAGATATCAGTATGGGCTTGAAATACGGCGAGCCATCTGGGACCTCTGGCGAGTTGTTGTCAATCGCACACCAGGAACGGCACTCTTCGTCGACACTGTCCTCATCAACGATGGTCTGTGTCAGCTCTACCTGCATTCGACGCAGCACCACTTGGAGAGTGGTATCAGCATGGCGAACGAAAAGCGACCGTAGCACGGGGACTTGGTCGCAGAGTGTTTGAAGGGCGTGCTGGAGTTGATCCACATCTATAGGACGGTCAATCCGCCAGATGTAGTAGTTCTTCAGACCGGCATCGAGATAGATACGTTGAAAGTCGGTGGTGGGCAGGACAGCCACAATATCGCTAGACTGCCACTCCTCAGTCACGCTGGCCGGCAGGCAGGAAAAGTCCCATTCCGGCCGAGGAAGCGATGCTATGTGATCTTCAATCCGTCTCTGGTGAATTACAGGGGCGAGAGCGGACAAGGTTGGGAACTCGAATACGGCGGGCACCGTGAGCCCAAGCATCCCTCTCGCATGGCCGCGGCTGACCATCTTCATTGCGTCAAGAGAATTGGCCCCAAGCCAGAAGAAGTCGTCATCGGCCCCGATGTCGTCGGCGGGTAGACCCAGAATGTCCGACCACAGGACCCGAAGTTGCCATTCCTCCGGTGTGCTCGGCGCTCGCTTAAATGCTCGTTGTTGGACTCCGTATGCCTCGATAGCAGACCGAGGCAGCAGCTGTGCTAGGGAATTCAGATGCCTGCGATCTGTCTTGCCAGTCGGGCTCAAAGGGACCCGGTAGAGCGGCAGGAAGACCGTCGGTATCATGTAGGCGGGTAGGACTTTATGTAGGTCTCCTGCAGCTGTCTCGACTTGTTCTCGAAATGTGTCGCTGGGGGGTGCAAGATCGGCAGCACCAGCCGGCAAGGGGTTACGGCCGCTATCGCTGCTCCCTGGGGAATGGACATGGACGAAGGCAACCAATATCTCCGCTTGGCTACAGGAAAGGTCGTTCCGGACGATCTTCTCGCATATCACTGTACCTGCACTAGGGAAGCAAACTCGGACGTAGTGCTCGACCTCGGCTAATTCCAAACGTTGCCCGCGTAGTTTCACCTGCAAATCTTTTCGGCCAATGTAGCGAAGACTACCGTCGGAGGCGTATTGCACAAGATCACCAGTCTTGTACATCCGATCATAAACGTCCCAACCCGGGAATTGATTGCGCCAAGGGGGGCTGTTAATAAAAGCCCGTCGGGTCAGGGCCTCGCGATTAAGATATCCGCGTCCAACATTCGGGCCCTCGATCAGGAGCTCTCCGATAGCGCCAATGGGAAGAAGCTGGCAAGGGTCGTCTTGGTCCACTACCCAGGACGTGCAGCCTACCGCACGGCCGATATCTCTCGGGTGGGAGCTGAGTTGCATGTCATTCTGTATCGTGGATAACACAGTACATTCCGCCGGGCCGTATCCATTAACTAACGTTACCTTGCCAGTCCATTTGCCTATGTCTTCCGCAGTCATCGGTTCGCCAGCAAGCACCAATGTCTTGACACACGGGATGTCGGCTGGAGTGAGAAGCCGAGAGACGGATGGCGTGAGCATAAGGGTGTTCACATGCAGGGCATTGATAGCGCCAGCCAAGTTGCCCAGCCGCTCCTCGTCTGAGGGTATGCAAACACACCCTCCAACAATCAGAGTCCCTAAGATCTCCAAGATGGTAATGTCAAACGCATATGACGTGAACTGGAGAACTCGAGCACTGCTATCTAGTGACATACATTTGGCGCAGGCCAGTGCATGGTTGCTGTACGACTTGTGCTCCACCACTACGCCCTTAGGCTGCCCTGTTGACCCAGAGGTAAACATGACGTAGAGGGCATTCTCAGGGCTTGCTGGGGGCGATTGCCAACTGGGATCCAGGGCGAACTCGGATCTCTCATCCACGACGACAACTTTGGAGGCGAAGTTGGCGCCGACGGCCGCATGCTGTGACGACGTTATGACAATCTTGGGCCGGATCTGATCGCATATGGCCTGCATTCTTTGCATTGGTAGAGCTTGATCGATCAGGACAAATGCTCCACCAGCCTTCAACACGGCTAGCATCGCAACGACCGCCCATCGAGATTTCCCGTAGCATAGAGGAACAAGCACTTCCGAGCCAATCCCAACACTCGTGAGATGCGCAGCCACCGCCGAAGAGGACCGATCCAACTCAGCGTAAGTCATTGCGCCATCCCAACTGTGGATAGCTGGTGCATCAGGTTGGGTCAGAGCCTTTTCCTGGATCAGGGTGTGGACGCAGCTCTTCCCCGGCTGGGTGATGTTCTGATTCCATTGTAACAACTGAACTCGATCTTCTGGACCAAATGATGGACTGCTCTCACGGGTGCAAATATCCCCAACATCTCCGGAAAGCACTTCTACGCGAGTTAGGTCGCTGTGCTTTCCCAGGTCAGGCGGCTGGTCGGGTTTCCGTCCGACGTGCATTCTAGCTTGCTGAGACTTTGGATATTGTAAATGTTCTTGAGAGTATCAGAATATGGGGGAGTTCAGCGACCGAAGACTAGAGTGTATAATCGGCGGAAGGAATGGGTGGCCCTCGGAAGAGGAAGAAATAAAAATTTATCAATATCCCTGACGAAAAGGAAATGAGACAACTACAGCTGGCTTGGTAACTGCTGGTTATTACTATCCCTTGCTCGCTAAACCTTGCATTCCTCACGAGGCGGTCAAGTTAATCTATCCCTTACACCTCTTCCAGCCGCTATTTCAAATACTACCTTGCATGCTGAAAGAGTCTACAGCGGACCAGATCACAGTGCCAGGTCAAATGGGTTATTCACTCTGGAGATCTAGCTGCTGAGAGAGAACACCCTTGGCAAACCATTACACATACTTTCCAGTACACACGAAAGAAGTAATTCCATGGGAAACATAGTTGTTATATACGGAAAGGATGCTGCAGGGAACTGATGGCTCGCCTGGAAGTTACGTGCACAGGCAGCCGAAAAGGCTCGGACGTACAAAAACGAGTAACCAAGTTCTATAACTGACCGTACTTTTACAGGAAGGTTTCTTCAGGCTGTGAGTGAGGACTATTGTTTGTCAGCAAGACTGGCGCCAAACGAAGCTCTATCTACCATAAGGTAGCCAATGCAGGCATTGATGTCGACAATATACCCGAGTCCTAATGATCGAGCTGAAGTAGCCTGGGTGTGCCGAGGTTTCTGAGATCTTGACATGCTTGTGTGAATTTGCTGATAATTTAATCCATCAGGCTTGTCATAACATATGCCTTGATGCCAGTATGGTCACTAACATTGTGGAGCTTCGTAGCTTGGGTATAAGTTGAACTAGCTACAGGATCTTCTGGGATGTATGCCCAAGGATTGCTACATGTACTGGCTTGAACTGGCCAGATGTTCCCTTAAGAGTGGTGGCGGGGCCAGCATCTAAGTCATTGTGGGTAATGACATTTTCAAAGTCAGTCTCTTCTGGCTAGGGCGTGCACCGTGCCATAGTTTCACTTGGATCAATTCTCTTATAGGGTTGGGCGTGGGTATATTGGTCCTGGCGGAAGTTCACCTCGCCGAAAACCAGTGTATACCCTTTCGAAGGGGGTGGGAAACGGCAGTGGAATAATTATTGGGGCTTTATTTGGCTTGTCTGGTCGGTGTTTAATTAGTCCTTACTCACTGCCGTACAACCTGCAATTCAAAAGAGGGCGAGTACGTCAATACGCTGCATCCCTTCCAGCGGCCTTTTCAAATGCTATCCTTGCATTGACTGGCTCTATCCGCATTTTGGATTGCATCTAGGTTGGCCCCGGCCCCGACCTAACCTGTAACTAAATAGGAAGTCAAATAGAGAATTGTTACGTCTATGTATCTATAAAGCTACATATGCAACGGAAGAAATCGACTATGATGCTACTGAGGGTTTGAGTAATGATATTTGCATTTCACACACAAGGAATGCAATACACATGCTCCTTGCTGATGATCGTGGTCCAAAATATGCCTTTCGGCGAAACAGGGCATAACTACTTTGTTAAAGGAATGAAATCGCTTGATACCTAACTGAGAAGGGTAAGCGCTTACTGAGGAACACTTTCCTTCAGGATCTCCACCTACAGAAGAAGAGAAGTTCAGAGAATAGGCGCAGTCATCAAATTGGCATTCTAGACATCATGCAATAGAATAGAAACATAACGCTAGCGAAATATAGAATCCTGAGACTAGTACTCTTTCCGGGCACCCACAGGCATGTCCCGTGAAATTCATGGTGATGCTCAGTCCTTTGTATGTCTTCGTGTCCACTAGATGCGGTAACTCACATTAGATCGTCCTATCCAACAAACGAAGCAAAACAAGGGAACTTACCTCTCCATAAACAAAGGGCTCAATGATCGGCGGGTTGGTGTCAGAAACAAACTTCTCCATAGGCGCTACCCGCGTCTGGTAGTCCATACTGAAAAAGAGTGGAATGGAAAACCGCTCCTGGCTAGTCCTATTGATCGCACGATGGGGTGTAGACTTGAAGAGGCCATTTGTCCTTTCATTCGTGTCTTAGCTTTGAAGTGTCGTTTGGATATATCAGGGGAGGGGGATGGAGGAAATATTCGCTCTCACCAATAGGCAAACATGTCTCCGATATTCACGACAAAGGTACCGGGAATAGAAGGGGCCTTGATCCACTCTTTCTCGGAATTCAGGACCTCTAGACCCGGGACTGCATCCTGGGATAAGATCGTGAAGAAGCCAAAGTCCTAGCAAAGTTAGCCGGGAAGATGATCCAATGCGAGAGCCCAGGCAGCATAAGTTTGGAACCGAGAAATACTTACGGTGTGTGGTGGAACTTCAGCGGCCGTTTGATCAGCCCTACAGGCGGAATAACGTATAAGACGAGATGCGGCCCCTGGATTCTTGCACATGTGGTCGAAGTAAGTCTCTGGCAGATCCAAAGCTAGGGCGAATATTCGGAGCAGCTTTCGACAAAACGTTAAGATCTGGCCATAATATTGTAGGTAGGCTTCTCTGAACCCCGGGATGAGTTCCTCGCGAGGCCACTGGTTTGGCCCATGGAGACCCCACGGGTCCGTGGGTTCGGCGTGGTCCGGTGTTTTGGCAGGGTCACCCGCTACCTCGTAGCCGATGTTAAATGCTTCCGTTGACTTTCCTGCGGTTGCCTTCAGGTGGGGATGCGCATCCTCGGGGACGTCTCGGGCTTGGGGATAGAACCCGCGAAATCGCTGCCATCATGATGTAAATTGCAATGGGATTACTGCTGGCACGACATTCAGCAGGGGCATACATACATTGTTCTTCCCAACGAAGGTCTCCATCTTCACCTCGTGCGGCAGGGCGAAAAATTTGTGGGCCATGTTGTGGATCTCTTGGATTGACTCTTCAGAAACTCCGTGGTTCTGCGCCTTGAGGTAAATATACGTAGAGGGAATGGATGGAGATACAAGTGGTGCTTGCCTTCACGAAGAGAAATCCCATCGTGGTCGCAACACGGTATATCTCCTTTGCGAGACGCTGGCGGTCCTGTGGAGAGTCGGAGTCCATGTCGGCCACATCAACCACGGGAATGCTTGTAAACTCCCCTGGTTTGCTTTGAGGCTTCGTATGGACCTCCCCGAACCGGGTCTGGAAAGTAGTGGTTGTGGTGGACATGGTGCGTAAATTCAGTTGTGATAGTGGAGCGAAAAGAGGCAGCAGGCTATTCTTGATTCCAGGTGAGACCTCCTTTTATCATTCTAAAAGGTCGTCTAACACAGGGGGATCTTAAGATGCCCTTCATGGCTTGGGGCTTTATCGGATTAGTGTTGGCCACGCGTGCCATTAACAACACACAGTATGACTGGCGAGAAGCAGTAACGGAATGTAGCCAGTCATGTTAGGAGGAGCAAATTGGCCACGTCAAGGCTACATGCATGCGTTGGGGCAGCAGTAAGGGCCGGTCTTACACAGGTAGCGGTGAATGATGAACAAGTGACTGTCTCAGCTACATTGGAAAGGGATTCACATGACAGTTTCTAATCTCCTTGCTGCTCGCGCGTAACAAACTAGCAGTGATCAGGTCTGCGGTATTTTAGCTATGATTCAGAATGACTGCCCAAGCTGGAGAGGAGTTCTGCAGCTGTGGAAAAGTAGACAAGGTTATTGATTGGTTCACATTCAACTGCAATACTATAAAATCTGCAACTACATGCTTTCTGTGTTCTTTAACCCCTTGAAGTCATGGACCAGCTGGTATTCTCCACCGACGGGGATGTTCCGCGGATGATACTCCTCCCCACTCTGAACTGCTTGAGCGGCGGCGTGGAAGTGTTGGTAGGCATACGCTTGGCAATCATGGTCGAAGATCCACCGCGGACGAGGAATCCTGGCTCGTGTTGGATCTTTCTCGATCGCAGCTTTGTCAAATCGTAGGCTGTCCTGAATCTGCAGGCCGCTCGACTGGATAATTGTGGCCCGTTGATACCTGGAAGATGTTTAGTTTATTTCGCTCCGCTGCATAATCCGGCACATATTCTACGCAATATTACCTTATCTTCTCCATTGTAAGCAACGCTAAAGGAACCCCTGCCTTTCCTGCCAGCTCGAGGGCGATGGCCACGGTAGCTGCGTCCTCGATACCTTGGGCAGCGCCTTGACCGGAGGTATGAAAATTGGGGTGAGCAGCATCTCCTATGAGCAGTATTCGGCCTTTGCCAGATACCCAAGTGGGCAATGGTGGTCGAAGAAGCAGTTGGAAATCGATGAGCTTCTCCTTGGGGGTGTGTCGCACGATGGGCACAATCCGATCCCTGACAGGCCAGTCTTGAAGAATCCGGATGGCTTCATCTGGGTCCACCGAAGTTGACCAAGACTCGCTCGCTCCCCGATAGTCCTATATATACATGATCTGATGTTTAAATCATGCCGTGGGTATAATTTAAGAAAACAGAAGAAGGGCGGGTTACCTCATGGGTGAGCATCCAACCAACATCTTTGCCGAGCCGTCCTGTGTATACAAGCAAGAGGTAGCCCTCCCGGGCAAACACCTGACTTCTATCCCGGTTTTCAGTCCCTTCGAGGATCCAGTTAGCTTGGGGGTCGTCTGCGAGAATGTTAGAGTCGAAGTACGCTCGAAACATCGAGTAGCCTGTTGGATCGGGAGCGACGTCCTCTCCCAGGACTACGCTCCGCGCCTTGCCATGGACACCGTCACAGGCAATGACGCAGTCAGCGGCAAGCCGCTCGCCATTGACAATGATTCCCGCCTCAGTGGCCGATTCCCAGTACTCTGAGACCACCTGGCCTAGCCGTATATCTATACCCAAAGACTGGGCATACTCGTACATAAGCCGCACTAGCTCCCCTCGATTCACCATGTACCCGTCCGGAGGGTGAAATCCGACGGTGTCATTGACGAAGTATAGCTTCCCCGTGTCGTCGTGCATTTCCATTGCCTTGATATGGTGAATAAAAGGCAGCACATCCTTGAAGAATTCACCATTCCTCCATTTCCCCAGAACGCGAGCGGCGTTGGCTCCAACTCCAATCTGATCTCCTAGAATTTGACTGATCAGGACATGGGATAATAAGACACCAACTACCGAGCTTACCATGCGGCCTAATGGACTGCACTTTGTCCACCACAATCACACTGTGCCCTTTACGGTGGCATTCAACGGCCGCTGTTATACCGGCGATTCCGAGTCCCACGACAATGACTCTGATCCCACTCGAATGCGGCGTAACCACCCCATCCGGCCCACTTCCAGCGGAAATGGTCATTGTTTCGGTTTGAGGAATAATAATCGATGAGGCAGTAGTTGGCGGGAACGGAAAGAAGAAGCTCGAATCTACGGAAACGCTCGGTAAGAAGTTGGGCATTTTTATGTGAAGTAAGGCCTGCTCCATACAGCCCCTACGGCAATTGAAGAGCGGCAGCGTCTTAGAACCGTAGAGCAAGGAGTCAAAGTCCTTGCGCAAAGCCCCGTGGAAAGCGTATCGTATCCGCTGCAAGGTAAAGCTATTGTCAATTTTCACCCACTATGCCTAATAAATATCCTGGATTCAAACATTTGGCATTCCACTGTACCATGGCAGGGTGAGCAGGGTGGGAGTAGGGTGTCCGCCTAGATCATGCAGCTGGGGCATCGGAGCCATGGTCTATGACTACCGAAGTTGAACTGCTGGAGGCTATCACAACAAGTAGACATCACTGAAATTACGCCTGTGAATTTCCCAAAGGTCATGATCGAGATCCGCAGAGAATACTGGGTCCAGCTGCAGCAAGAAGCGGTCAACAGTGCTCTGGAGTGGCAACAGACCGAAAACTCACCTTCTGCATTAGAACGAAGGGGTTGATGCCCAGCAAAGCAAGGGGGATAGAATAATCGTCTAATGTTATGCTCCATTCGGTGTTCGAATATCATTATGTAACGACAGGGGAATATACTGTCATGAGGTATTGGGGCGGCATTAGAGGCAGACGTAAATATCAGACTCGAGCTCTTGTTGCAAATGCAAGATTCGACACGTTTTGCCATCATCTAATATACTACTCTCGTTATGGCGACCGAGCAGTACTCCCTCTTCCCGGATATCAATGATCGGATGCCCCATCCAGAAAGCACACACCACAGGTTGGAGGCTGAACTGGACACATTCAAACATGTACCTCAGTTCTGCCATCAGACCCAAGTGCAGGTTCCCTATTTTTTGGCCGCTGTGTGGGCAGTAATCCTTCGTCAGTACACCAGGAAGGAGAGAGTAGTAATGGGCCTTGAGTTCCTCAACGTGGGAGAAGATGGAGCAAAGCCGCAAAGCCAAGCACTTTCTGCGCCACTTGTGCCAGACCAGAGGGTTGGCGAGCTCTTTCGGCCTGAGAGCTGGAGCCTGAGCCCCTGCACAACATCGCATCGAGCGTTATTCAACACGGCTATAGTGATTGACCAGCAGGATAGTTTTGAACAGACGCTTGAACTGGAAGAGGTGAGATAGAATTGTATGGGGAACCAAGCTGCCACTGACTTAGGAATTTCCTAGACTTGCAGCATTATTCTTGTTGCAACAAACATAGACAAGCATCTAAAATTAAAGGTGCGATACAAGCCATGGACATTGTCGCCAGGCCACGCGCAGCTGATGTGCGACTATATCATTCACGCCATCTCATCAGTTATCGAAAACCCTCAACAAGGCATAGATGACATCTCAACTGCAATACAACGCGGCCAGATTCAGCGCTGGAACAGCCACGAGGTGGCAGAAAGGCCGTGTTGCAGCATCCACAGTCTAGTTCACGAGCAGGCGTTGCTGCATCCGAACAAACAATCCGTCCATGCCTGGGACGAGACGTTCACTTATACCGAGCTCGACGCTCTGTCCTCTCACTTGGCGGCCTATTTGCAGAGGCTTGCAATCGCCCCGGGAAAGCTGGTCGCGGTCTGTTTCGAAAAATCCGCATGGGCCATCGTGGCGCTGCTGGCCATCAACAAGACTGGCGCTGCCTTCGTGCCTCTCGACCCATCTCATCCATTGAGTCGACGGAACGAAATTCTAGACATGATTAGCCCAGCGTGTATGATTACTTCCGTGCAAGAGGCAGTCAACGTACCAGACTGGGTGCCGCACAAGTTAGTTTGTTCGCGCCAGATGATGGAATCCTTGAGAGACGAAAGAGAATATCGGGAGCCCTTCACCGACCCAGATAACCCTGCATACTGCTTCTTTACGTCAGGGAGCACCGGCACACCCCGAGGTTGTGTTGTCGGCCATGCGGCGCTTTCCTCTGTGGCAAATCACAGTCAAGCCCTACGAATTAGCAACCGGAGCCGAGTTCTCCAATTTGCATCATTTACCTTTGGAATCTCGCTCATCGAGATTTGGTGCACTTTGACCGCAGGAGGAACCATCTGCATGCCGTCGGAAGACGATCGGTATAATCGGCTCGCTGGCGCAATCACGGACATGCAGGCTGACTGGGCGCTAATGACGCCAACGGCTCTCCAAGTTCTCAGTCCGCATCAGGTTCCATCTCTTCGGACCATTGGCATGGCCGGTGAGCCGCCCCGAAAAGCTCAGATTGAGATGTGGGCCAAGGCTGTCTATCTTTTTCAGGCCTATGGCCTAACGGAGTGGGCAGGTATCTGCGCTGTTTCAGAGCAGATTCGCACTCCGGAGTCGAATAGTATTATCGGCAGATGTGCCGGGGGAAAGCTCTGGCTGGTGGACCCTGAAGACCATCATCGTTTGGCCCCAATTGGCGCAGAAGCGGAATTGCTCATCGAGGGGCCTAGCTTAGCGCTGGGATACCTGAAGGAACCGGGACGAACGGCTGAGGCCTTCATCTCCCCGCCGTCATGGATGGCTTCATTTATTGGGGAGGGTCAACAGTCCCGACGGCTGTACAGAACGGGAGATCTAGTTCGGTACCAATCGGATGGGAGTGTTGCCTATCTATCCAGGAAAGGAACCCAGGTGAAGGTACGAGGCCAGCGTGTCGAGCTTGGCGAGGTTGAATATCATATTGCCCGGCGAACGCCTACCGTCAAGAAGGTCATTGCGGAGATCGTGGAACCGGCGGACTCCGACGGACACGGTCACCCCACTTTGGCAGCCTTCCTCCTCATTGACACTTGTAGGAATGGTCTATCAGAGCACGGCGAGGTGGAGGAATCATGGTTTACCCCCGCGAATGGCAAACTGCGGGAAAGCATCCAAGAACTTAGAAGCTCTCTAAACGAGGCCCTGCCGCCCTATATGGTCCCGGACCTTTTCATCCCCACGCGCTACGTCCCTGTCACCGTTTCTGGCAAGGTCGACCGTCGGCGGCTGAGGGAGAGGGCTCATCTGTACTCGCGAGAGCGACTGGTGGCGTTGACAAAGACGATTCGGCCCAGCAGAGTCGCTCTAACTGAAAGCGAGCTCCAAATCCAGCAATGGACGGCCCAGGTACTCAACGTGCCCCTAGAACGAGTGGGACTCACCGACTTGTTCTTTGACCTAGGAGGGGACTCAGTCAGAGCCATGAAGCTGGTCGGATTGGCCCGCCAAAACCATTATCACCTGAACGTCGCCGACATATTCAAGTATCCCCGCTTGGTCAATCTAGCAGAGTTGTTGGACAAACGGCGCATCGATCAGCGAGCTGCAGAGCCAAGGGCACCCGTAAAGCCATTCCAACTTCTCAAAGACGCGGCGGACGAAGTGGCAAGAAATCGCCTCCTCCTGGAGGTATCAACGCAATGTCATGTCCCACCGGAGGATATCGAAGATATATACCCTTGTACACCAATGCAGGAGGGCCTGATCGCTCTCTCCGCCAACCGCCCTGGTGCAGGTGTTGCGCGCTTTGTATTTACTTTGCAGCGCGCTGTGGAGATACCGCGCCTCCTGACTGCGTGGCAGCATGTGATGGATAGCAACCAGATTTTGCGAACCAGAATCGTACAGACAAAGGCCAACGGACTACTACAAGTGGTCCTTCGCACCGGCCCAGCCCCTTTAAATAGGGCAAACGATGAGCTGGAGACATACCTGCGAGAGGTGGGAGCGCATACAATGGCAACTGGTGATATCCTACTAGAGGCAGCCTTGGTAAATGCATCCCGGGAAGCTAAATTCGTTATAACAATTCACCACGCTCTCTGTGACCGCTGGTCCATGCAGCTTGTGCAGCAGCAGCTTGAATACAGGTACCTCCGTCAGATAGCCGTTGCACCAACCCCTTCGTTTGCGACTTTCGTATCCCATACCTGTGTCCACCAGGACGAGGAGCAGCTACGCAAATACTGGCAGCAACAGTTCGCCGGCCTCGATGCAGGCGTACTACCCGCTATTTCATCCGTACAGACGCCGATAGCCGACAGCAACCATACCCGTGTCCTCCGACTCTCGACGGACGTGCACAAAGGATATACAAAATCGACACTGCTCCAGGTGGCCTGGGCCATCGTGCTTGCTAATCACACCTCCTCATCAGATGTCGTCTTTGGCATCACGGTAACCGGGCGCGGTGCAGCTGTCAAAGGGGTTGACCAGATGGTCGCACCGACAATTGCTAATGTGCCTCTGCGTGTTCAGCTAAGGCCTCATGAGACCCTTCTCGAAACCTTGACCAAGCTCCAAACACAATTGGGGGAGATGATTCCGTTCGAGCAGGCAGGTTTACAAAATATTCGGAGGTACAGTGAGGAGGCTGAGGCTCGCTGCCGATTTCAGAGTCATCTGGTCGTCCAACCGGCCTGGGACCACGCTACCTCCAAGTCTACGCTTTGGTCAAACGTTCAGGCTGATTCTACCGTCGTCGGGGGCTTTGCCGCTACTGCGTTAGCTTTAGTGTGTAGCCTAAACGAAGACAGCCCTGAGATTTACATTGAGGCGAACTTTGATGCGCGTATTCTTCCGGCTGAAAGGGTCCGTCTGATGCTTGACCTCTTCGAAGCCGTCATTCACCAGGCAGTTATCAATCCAGAAACCACCCTAGACGGCCTTCCCTCTGTAACTGACAGTGAGTTGCAGAGGATGAAGGCCTGGAATGAACGATCACCGCTGATGGTTACCGGTACCTGCATAACGGATCTTCTGGAGCAGCATTTTGTGCAGCGACCAGAGCATACCGCAGTTCGCTCATGGGACGGCAATTTTACGTTTGGGGAACTTGACCGGCTGTCGAGTAAGATCGCTGCCGGTTTGGTGAGCCAGGGGCTGGGAGCAGGGCACTATGTTCCCATCTTTCTGGATCGCAGTAAGTGGACAGCAGTAGCCATGGTCGCGGTGATCAAGGCAGGGGCTGCTTTCATGCTGCTGGACCCTGCCCACCCGGATGACAGACTACGATACATTTGCACCTCGCTCCGGGCTGAATTTGTCATATCATCAAAGACCATGCTTCCTCGCAGTACAACCCTTGGCCCACAAATAGCCTTCATTGAGAAGGAGCTGAACCGTGAGCCGCTGACAACGGCGCGGAGAGTACAGCCACATCATGCTCTCTACGCAGTCTTTACATCCGGATCCACTGGGACGCCCAAGGCCGTCGTAATCGAGCACCGGAACTTTGGCGCCAGTGCCGTTGCGCACAACCGAGTGCATGCTATCAAGCATACGTCCCGTGTGCTTCACTTTGCCTCTCATGCTTTTGACATCAGTATTATGGAGACGTTAAGCACGCTTCTGGCTGGGGCTTGTGTTTGCATCCTTTCAGAGTCCGAGCGGAAAGACTCGTTCCTAGATACTGCCAACCGGTTTCAGATAACTCACGCATTCCTGACCCCTTCCCTGGCTCGAACATTGGACCTCAGTCAGCTGGCATCACTGGAAGTATTGATAGTCGGTGGGGAGCCCCTGCTGCCCTCCGATCTTGGCTGTTTGACCGGCCAAAGGTTCCGGTTAGTCAATGAGTATGGCCCGGCTGAGTGCGCGGTCACGGCAACCGCACAGCACACCGTTCGATCCAACAGTGACCCCAGGGTCATTGGCCTTCCAGTGGGCTGTCGGTGTTGGGTGGTAGACTCGCAGGATCACCAACGCCTGGTCCCTATCGGCGCGAAGGGAGAGTTACTGATCGAGGGCCCTATTGTCGGCAAAGGTTATTTGAATGACGCACAGAGGACTGCAATGTCATTTATTGAACCCCCAAACTGGCACCGCAGGCTGTACCCAGACCAATCGCCGATGGGACGACTTTATAAGACAGGGGATATCGTGAGCCATATGGACGACGGTACCATCCGGATTGTTGGCCGGAAAGACCTCCAGGTCAAGGTCCGCGGGCAGCGCATTGAGCTCGAGGAAGTCCAAAGCCATGTTAAGAGATGCTTTCAGGAATCAACGGACGCTGTGGTTGAATTGGTTTCCCTCGGCCCGCAGCGTACTCCAACACTTGTCGCCTTCGTGTGTCTGAGGGACGGTAGTCGCGGTGCTGCACCCCAGGGTCTCATTCTCTCTCCCGATGCGTCTTTCCAACGAGGTGCCCACGCAGCGCATGAGCGCTTGCGCTCATTGATTCCGAGCTATATGATTCCACAGTTGTTCCTGCCAGTGTCATTCATCCCGTTAAGCGGCAGTGGCAAGATCGACCGTCGTCGTCTCCACGAGGCCGCCGAACATTTGACTGTCGATGAACTCCAGAGGCACCGGCAGGGTGACATATCCAAAATACCCCCGTCTACGCCAGATGAACGAGTCCTGCAGGAAGTATGGGCACAGGTGCTAGGTCTAGAGCGGGAGTCTGTGGGCGTTCATGACAACTTCTTCTACTTGGGCGGGGATTCCATCAAGGCCATGGCGGTTGGAACTTGCTGCCGCTCCAGGGGGCTGCAACTGGCAGTCAGCCAGGTCTTTTCACATCCGATCTTGCTTGATCAGGCGAAGCTTCTAAGTTCTGCTACCGGGTCTATATCAGCTGTGGACCCACCCCCGTTCTCTCTGGTGGATAAGGGTACAAAGGAGGCGCTGGTTCAAATCGCGGAGAAATATCAGATTTCTCCAAGGCAGATCGAAGATATCTACCCCTGCACCCCTCTTCAGGAAGGTTTTCTGGCTAGCACCGCACGCGACTCGACTGCTTATGTTGGCCAATGGATTTACCAGTTACCGCCGCACGTCGATCTTTCGAAACTGAGGAAGGCATGGGAGCATGTGGCAGGCTCTCATCCGATCCTGAGGACACGCATGATGCAGGCGCCCGACAATCGACTCTACCAGGTAGTTCTGTGCGATCCGCAGATCCCTTGGGAGGTGACGGAGGACTTCACCGAGTCTCAAATGAACAAAGCTCGCCAGCGCATGCAGCCAGGACGGCCCATGGCGTACTTTATGGTGTGTCCGGGAAACGAAACCAGGCGACCGCGGTTACACTTGACGATGCATCATGCCAGCTACGATGCTATCTCAATGACACATATCTTCCGAGACGTAGAGGCATCATACTGTGGTCAGCTCACGTTGACACCCCGTCCCTTTTCGCCCTTTATTCGCTTCCTCCAAGACGAAGCCGCAGGCCACGAGAATTTCTGGAGACAAACATTTGCAGGTCTTGAGGCCATCCCATTCCCAGAGCTGCCGTCCGTCACCTATCGCCCAGCCCCTTCGAGCGTGATTGAACAAGAAACAACGCTCGGCAATATTACCCGTCAAGGCAGCGGAGCCACAATCACCACCAAGATCCTGCTCGCCTGGGCCATTGTACAGTCTCGGTACCAGCGCAGCCGCGACGTGGTTTTCGGAGTTACCGTCTCTGGTCGGTCCGCACCTGTTCCTGGGATCGAAACGATGACTGGGCCTACAATTTCGACCATCCCTCTACGCGTGCTGATGGATGGAGAAGCACCACTGGCACAGATGCTGCAGCACGTGCAGGATACGCGGACGAACACCATTCCCCACGAGCATACCGGCCTGCAGAATATCCGCCGATTTGGGGATGATGCGCAGGCCGCCTGTTCTTTCCAGACTCTCCTGATTGTACAACAAGAGGAAGGCGAAGATGTCGGCATGTTCCAGCTGGGCGAGTCCTTAACCGAGTGGACGTCCTTCAGTAACTATGCCATCCTGCTGTCTTGTCACGCGCGCAAGAATGGTACCATCCAGCTTCAAATGTCTTTTGATCCGCAGGTAGTTGCTGAGCGCCAGATGCGACGAGTCCTATCGTACTTTGTAGATGTGCTCGCGCAAATAATGAATGGACCGCCAAACATCCGGGTGCAAGAGGTCCAACCCCTCAGTCGTTCTGACAAGGCAGAGATCATTTCGTGGAACAGCAGAATGCCACCGGTCATATCGCACCACTGTGTCCACGACATTATTCAAGAGCGATGTGAGCAATATCCGGATGCCCCGGCAGTCTGTGGATGGGATGGCGAGTTTTCGTACAGAGAGCTTGATGCATTGTCGTCCTCATTGGCGCAACACCTGGCCGCCCATGGAGTCCACCTGGAGACTGCTGTACCGCTGTATTTCGAGAAGTCAAGGTGGACGATAGTCGCAATCATGGCAGTGCTCAAGGCCGGCGGTGCTTTTGTCCTTCTTGATCCGTCACATCCGTTTAACCGGCTCCACGCCATCTGCGAGCAACTCCAGGCGCCCGTTATCCTGGTATCTGAGACATATTCGGCGGCCGGGGCGTCACTTTGTAAGGATCACATCATCGTGGGCGAGCATCACCGCCAATGGATTAACGATCTTGCACATTGGTGTGCCCCTCAAAGTCGTCCCCAGCAGGCCTTGTACATTGTTTTCACCTCCGGATCAACGGGACAACCCAAGGGGGTGGTTATCGAACACGGCTGCTACTGCACTGCCGCCGCCGCCCATATTCCGGTCCTAAATCTCAGCAGTTCTTCCCGAGTATTGCAATTCTCTGCATATGCGTTCGATGTCAGCATTATGGACATCCTAAGTACTCTCATGGTGGGCGGCTGCGTGTGTATACTGTCCGAAGCGCAACGTCGTGATGGTTTCGTAGCTGCGGTTCAAGCCATGCGCACCACCCACGCTATGCTAACCCCGACTTTTGCGCGAACAATTGCCGACTACCAGGAGCTATATTCACTTGAGGTTCTGTCACTAATTGGCGAAAAGGTCAAGGCTATAGATGTCTCGATGTGGGCCGATCGGGTCAGATTTCTCAATACATATGGGCCAGCAGAGTGCTCCGTCGTTTCCACGATTCAGGATAAGATCACCCATCAGACCAACCCAAGCAATATTGGATTCGCCACGGGAGGGACCTGTTGGGTGGTTGACCCGGAGAATCACGGAGTGCTTGCCCCGATTGGGGCCCCTGGAGAACTGGTGATTGAGGGTGCACTCGTCGCGCGTGGTTATCTTAATGCTCCGGGCAAGACAGCAGAGGTATTTATCCAGCCTCCGCCCTGGCTCCGAGAGGCACGAGGTGGGCGGTCTTCTCGTCTGTACAAGACTGGAGATATTGTTAAATATGACAGTGATGGCTCCCTGGTCTACCTTGGTCGCAAGGACTCTCAGGCCAAGGTGCGAGGGCAGCGCCTAGAACTGGGCGAGGTGGAAACCCATGTACAGCAGGCATTTCCCGGGGCAACGGACGTCGTGGCTGAAGTCATAGAGTTTGATCATGGGCAGAGTGCCCTCGTTGCGTTTGTCCTGAGAGCCGAATGCCCAGCCGAGGGCCTCTTGCAGCCGTGTAGCGACATCTTCGTCGCTGATGCCCTGCAAGCAGAGACACGTCTTGAGAGCATAGTGCCGAGCTACATGATTCCTGCCATCTATCTGCCACTCTCACACATGCCATACGGTGCTAGTGGCAAAGCAGATCGTCGACAACTACGGAAGGTGGCAGCTGCCCTGTCGCAGCAGGAGCTTCAGGCCTATCGACGGAGTTCGGATGGGGGTGAAAAGCGAGTAACGACCGAACCGGAACGCATTCTGCGAGACGTATGGTCTGAGATACTCCAGCTCCCGGCGTCGAGCATTGGGGCTGAGGACTCTTTCTTCCGGTTGGGCGGCGACTCAATCATGGCCATGAAGGCGGCACCATTGGCAAGGGAGCATGGACTACGTATTACAGTGGCCGACATTTTTGATAAACCGAAGCTCAGGGATCTCGCCGCCGTGGGAGCCCAGCATCCAGATGATGTGGCGGGCGGCCCTGACCAATTCGTTCCCCCAATGTCCTTGTCCCCAATCCAAGATCCTGCCCGGTACTTTAAGTGTCTCCGCGCACTGGGTCTGGTATCGTCCCAAGCAGAGCTGGTGGACCTTTTTCCATGCACGGAGGTGCAGTCGTTCTTCTTGGTCCGTCAAACGACACACCATTACACGTTCTCCCTCACGGGGACGGTCGATGTTGACCGTCTCCGCGAGGCCTGCAAAGTTGCCCTGAGGAAGCACACGATTTTGCGAACGCTCTTCACGATGCACGACGGTCAGCTCATTCAGGTGGTCCTTCGTGGCATGGAGCTCCCTTTCCAGCATGTTGCTGACCTTCCCGACGTCGCCGAGTTCCAGCAGTCGTTGTGGCAGGCGGATGCCACCGGAAACAAGGTGTTACCGAGCCTACCAACCCAGTTTATCCTGCTGTCCAGTCACGATAAGCGACACCATACCTTCATCATTCGCCTTCTCCATGCGCAATGGGACGCCGTCTCAATCCCGGTTCTATTTAACGATATAGCCGTTGCTTACAATGACGGTTCCATCCCTCAAGCAGTCGTCGATTACTCTGCTTTCCTGTATGAAAGAACACAGCAGCCACGAGACGCAGCTTTAGGCTTCTGGCGCAGTCTGTTGAAAGGCTCAACCCTAACTGCGCTCCCGCCCTCGGATCAAACTATCCCCACCAGCGCGGTGACGACCCTTTGGGAGAACCAGGATGTCTCGCCGCCCCCAGAGCCGCCTGCAGGGGTCACAATGGCGACATTGATCAAAGCGGCGTGGGCTCACGTCCTCTGGCAGAAGACCGGTCACCTCGATGTCACCTTCACCCAGACAGTGAATGGACGCAGCCTGCCCCTGGCCCACGCCGACAAGGTGCTGGGGCCCTGCATCAATTTTATTCCAGTGCGGGCGTCAATCGAGCCCTATTCCATGACCGCCCGCGAGTTGCTCCAGCACCTCCAGGAGCAGCACACCCGCAGTATGCGCCACGATTTTGTCGAGTTTGGCGACATTGTGCGCAATGCCACCTCCTGGCCAGCGACGACGGAAATACAATCCATTGTTCAGCATCAAAACTTTGATAGTGATTATAAGCTACCCTTGGGTGGCGTGGGGTCCACCTTCTCGCTCACGCACAATTTCACGGCGCTGTCGGAGCTTTTCGTGTTTACCTATCCATTGAAGGACCGGCTGCTTGTCCAGGTCTGCGTCTCAACTGCAGTCATGTCCCAGCCGGAAGCTGCTGGCTTACTGGCGACATTGTGCACCACCATTGAAAGGTTGGCCCGATTTCCAGATCGATACCTTGGGGATCTGCTTTCTTAGGCACAACATGCCAATTAGCCATTCTCCTTCTATTTGTCAGCATCTAGGTTTATGCCATTGTCAATCAGAACAGTATGCTGTATTCATACTTTGTCCCTCCCAGCAATTCCCCAGTCTGGAACATTGTGTTGACGTAGGAAGACCAGCACTACGCCAGTCTAAAATTAGGATAGGGGTATAGTAATATTTATCAAGTAGGGTGAAATGTGAATAACGAAGTGTAAAAGTATACCCTAGACTGGTCGTGGATTGGATTTGGATGGATCCGCAAGGGGTTCAATCCAACCCATGCGGATTATGGGTTGATCCATGACCTATCTAACCCACCCTTATATCCATGGGGATTGGATTATGGATAATGGATATATCCATACTATCTAGTCAGGTAACCTCTAGTATTCAGATTCCTACCTATTTTTCTAGTATCCTAGCCACACCACTAAGATATCTATAGGATTTATTTGATAATATAAGCAAACATGACTGCATGATTTATAGTTAAGCAGATTTCGCACCAGCACACCAAGAGCGATATATTTACTGAATATGGTTGCGGCATTTCGTAGCGTCTGTTGCATGCAGAAGACAGTGAAAATGGGCAAATCACTGCAAGACGAGGTTGAGTGCGCGGCAACACCCTGTCTGCTGTTGGCCATACACAGTCCCCAAAGTTTGGTCATCTGTGTCAGACGACCAATCCCTTATATGACAAACAGCTGGTCCAGGTGAGCCACAGAGCTGTCCGCGGAAGGCTGTCTGTAATCGCTGTCTCCGACAGGCTGACGACATGCATCCAGATAGACGACCAGAAACAACCATTACAGCATTCCAGCCCAGCGCGCTCTGGAGTTTGATGCCAGCTTGTACGAGGATTAGTCTCCTGCACCGTTCTCAACGGCCTCTAATTCAATCAAACAATCCACGCATAGTGCTCGATATATCCTACTTTAGTGGCGTTCCTTCAATTTGACATTTATCTATTAACATAAACACCAGTCAGTAGCCTTGCTTCGCGATAACTGCATCAAATCCTGAAGCTTGGCGCCTACCAAGTTTCATTTGTTCGGTTCGGGCCGTCGAACCAAATGTCTTTCCCCCAGGCCCTAGTCACCCAGTGAAGGCATTGGCGGCACACACCCCTGACGCTTCTCTCCTTAGGATGGCTCTACGTTATCCTCCCAGTAGATCGTCCGAATGCGAAGCAAGCGTTATACAAAGGATAAATTATTTCGGGTGGAAATCCTTGCTGAAGGGACGAAGGAGTCCGCTTGGCGAAGCCATAGGCCTCGCACTGAGTAAACCTCCCTCCCACCCCCGCGGCCCCTGAACCCATCATGTCTGTGTACAATGCTCCTAGGACAACTTGACTATGATTTACTAAGCAAAGAGGAAAGAGTCTAAAGACTCAACCCCCTGTTGATTTTCCTACCATGCCCCTTGTTAAGTATTACGTATGTATAGCTTAGATTCCTCTAAGATTTCTATTGGAGTTAGCCTCAAGTGTGCCAAAAGATAACTAGGTGTTTGAAGACGGACGGGGAAAGGGGAGGGAAATAAAACTCTTGGCTCTTTGCAGAGCGGCGTGTGTCGAGTAGATAAGAGCAACTTCTGCGAATGAGGGGGTCAGCCCTGTGAACTGGGGTTGGATGACAACCTTCCTTTACGAAATAGTGCAAGTGAGGGTGCGCTGAGGCACCCTCATCAATGCGCAGATGTCAGCCTCAAGTGCTGATCAAGGTCACTATTGGGTGAGGATAACCGCCGGGCACCAAAACAAGTGGCATGGGCGCCTGCCAGCCATTTCGGCAGCCACAAACGGACAGTCACCTTGACATGACATGCTCTGGATTGCAAGTCCAACTCACGTGAGGTCAGGGAAGCTGACCAGGCAAGGTTAGTTCTCAGGCCGTACAGAAGATGAGCTGGCTTGTTGCTTCAAACACCACATAGCAGGTCATGCTCCTCCCAGAGCTACATCCGCATCAACTGAACATGCCAGCAAATTTATAAAAAAAATCATGGATTTACTAAATGCCATTATTGACATTCCCGCTCTGACACTTGGGCTCGTCACAGAAATCTTCCCCCAGGCTACTTCTGCCAGTGATTATTATCTTGGCGTCTATGATATTCCCATTTCTGCGACATGCGTCTATAAAGAAGTTGTTGACTCTCAACATTTCTCTGATATGTCTGCAGCATTCGGAAAGCTGGAAGAAGAAGAGCAAGACGCATGTTCAATCCGGGTGTATCTTGACGAAGTCGGCGGCAACAGAGCCTTCCAAAAACGTCTCAAGGACCATTGGCATCGTTTTCTGCGTATAAGATCGAACGAAGACGAGTATAGCACAGGTTTTCACGCGGCCATGTGTCTATTGAGGTCTGATGCTGACCAGAATAAGTGGTACCTGGTTGAGGGTGTTGAATTCAACAGATCGAGGCAATTTTCAACCTCGAGTGACCTCTGGGAATCTTTCGGCGAACGGTCACCCTTAAGAACCCTCACTGACGAGGTGCGACAATTCCTCGAAGACCTTCGAGAAATGTTTCAAAGGCCACTGCCTGTCTTGGCATCGATCAGGAAAAGACTAAGGTTTCACGAGGCCCCAAACAGGCAATTTACAGGTCCGTCTCCATCCTTGTCGCCTGTTATTAAAAAACTAACAATATTTTCAATTAGTTCTTATCTCTTGTAAGACTATGCACCCTGAACAAACCTGGGCGGCAGCTACTAGAAACAACCGCGATCAAGAGTCATCATTTTATTCCCCTGCAGCCAAGTTAGTTTTGGAATCGTTGCTGCGACTGGAACCCGTCTATAGGCCAATTCGGACTGAAGAGAATTGGAAGCAGACATTTCTCCTCCAATATCAGCACGCCAATCTAAATCTTTTTCTTCGGTCCCTTCAAGAATTCGAAAATGAGTATGTGCCGCGACGTAGAAGGGATTTTGACGCCCGCTCGTCCAAACTGCGACGCTGGGTCCTCAGAGAAATGGCTACCGACGCCTCCTACTACTGTTTGCTGTCTAACATTGGCAATGATTTGGCGGAAACGCTTGAATCTCTCCTGAATGTTGCCATGAAGACGTTGCCTGAACTACGAGACTCAGACTTCAATACGGGGACAACGTTTTCCAGAATCGAGACAGAGCTTCGAGAATACTGTAAGGAGATCAGGAACCGCCTCGCGAGATTGAACAACGAGATGGATAAAAATGTGAAATTCCTTGACTTGGACCGGACCTTGAAACAAGCTAGAAACGTGGAGCGGCTGACGATTCTTGCCACGATATTTCTTCCCTTGTCACTTGCTGCTGGGATTCTTAGTATGCAATCAAGATTCAAGGATGCAGGAGTTCTATTATACGACTTCCTTGGAGTTTCTGTTCTTCTTGGAGCATTTGCGGTTGCTGTCGTTGTCTCATTGGCCTTCTTCAATTTGATCGAGGAAGATGTTACGAAACTTTTCAAGGCCAACATCTTTAAACGAATATGGCGACTTGTACTATGGTATTTGGCGTTGCATATCTTGGCAATAGGGTTACTTATCTTAACTTCCTTTACCGTTGGCATGTTCAAAGACGTGGTCTTGGGGTGGTTCATTCTTGGATATGGACTTGCGGTGGCCATTGGTGGCCCAATTGTCTTCGGGGTCGTCTATTCCATTGGCACGGTGCTCGCAAAGTATCTCCCCGACCGACTTCGCTAGACAATATATTTTATCACCGGGTAATCTAGTCAACCAATCGTAAGATTGATGACTGACCTAGAAGGAAGCTCAGCTCCAGGCAATTATATGGTGGGACAGCGGAGACCATGACTGGATGTACGTGATACTGATTGGGTGTGAATGATCCCCCAGGGCTTGTTCTCTCATATGGATCGAGATAGCGATAGCGGTGGTGTTGACAAAATTGGATGTTTTAGTCTAACCCTTCTGACTCTCATGACGTCTACACGCAGCGATCGTGATGCCGGCCAACGTCTTTGACCAGTGCAAACTGGCATTTGGGAAGCATATGTGTACCATACTCAAATTCTCGTTAGGACACAACATCCACAGACAAGGAACTGGTGTCCGGCGCAGCTTCAGCCTTGCCTACAACTCAGGAATTTATTATAATAATTCTAGAGCTGTGCAGCTTTAAGCTATTTATTTTTACCTAGTCCTCTCTCACTGTAGAGTCTCAATCCTATCCTATAGTTAATAATAATTAGCTCTTTCTCTTAGTAGGCTAAAACTTATGTGCGACCTTAGCCCTGCCCTCTCCCTGAGTGGTTTAATATGCCTTCTGGTTAGAAATGAACTAGTAAAGCTAAGGTTACTTGATATTTTTTATAGCAGTCCAGCTGTCACGGGCTAGGAGCCTTAGAAACCTATGACCTAGGTTTAGATAGTAAGAAATTACTAAAGAAGGAATCTAACTAGGGCCATAGCAGCTAAATATAATACGGAGTGTGTAAATAGTATATAGTCATATAATATCATAGACTACTATATTGATTAGTATATGGTCATATAACCAGCAGCTGGTGTCTAGTTTAGATATGACTTCGTGAGGGCTAAACAATTTAGTTGAACAGCCCGAGCATCCAGCGGGCCCTGCCCGCTAGGGCCGCTACAAAGGATATATAAATATTGTTAATAAAGGTCTTTAAATTATAGCTGTGTATGGTGGTGTTATTACTTAATGTATAATTCTAGCTTAGTGTGGTTTAGGCTGAACCTTTCCTAGAGGGGTGGGATAGTTATTATATAGCAAGCCTCTGTTATAGGGCTACTATCTTATTTACTCCTAGATTATAGTTTCTCTGAACTCTGTACATATGGAATATGAATATGATAGGGGGAATAAACAGCTTAGGAATAACTAAGTAATTTATTCTAATCATTAAAATACCTACATTCACTTAGCAAGCCTGTATCATCTTGAAATCCTGTAATCATAACAGTGACTTGCAGCCTAGCCAACGACCTCTCAATGGCTAGGAACCCCTCGAGCAGCCTACTCACAGTCTGCTTACATTTTCCTTTCTTCCTTTCATAGAATGTCATCATTGTCATGTGGTATTTATCCTAAATAAATTTAATAATTACACCTTCGTCTTTTACGTTTTAGGTAATGGACTCAGGAAACAATTTACCCAAAGAAGTGTAGACTAAGACACGCTCGTAAGTGTTCCCTACACAGAAGGGGAGTAGTTCCTGATGTGATAATCCTTAAGTATAATCAGATTAGCAACTGCCTTGAGAAGCTGAAAGAGATGGCAAAATAGGAAATGAGAAGCAAAATGCAGTGACTGTAAGGGACTGTTATTATAATGAAAGAAGATGACCTGAGAAGTTATAGTAAAGAATAGGTGTTCTTAACAGGTACATGATGGCTGAAGCAATGAAAGGGCAGATATCCTTTATATATTGCTATAAGCCCATCGACTCTCTCGGAAGTGAAAAGTCAACGCTCGAAAGTTGGTCAATGAACAAGGAGAAAAAATGGCTTCTTTAGCATATCCTGGTCAAGGCAGAATCTAGTCCAAATAATCTGACGCCGAATTCAGTAAGGGTGTGCTGATATACAGATCATGACCATATATAACGTAGCCCATCAGTGTCCACTCTCTGCACTGACTACCGTTTTGGAAGACTTGAAGTGTCGTGGTGCCGTTCCCATCTCATATGCCCTATCAATGTCTTCAACACTGAGGCCTGCCGTCTCGGGAACGAGGAACCAAGAGATAACAGTGACGACCACCGTCAACCCGGCATACACAAAGCCAGTCTTCGCGCCCAGATTGCCAGAATCGACGTTATACATGTAAGGGGTGATAAAATTGAACAGCCAACCGCCGATGGCGCCAACAATGAAGGCAACAGACTGCGAGTATTGGCGAAGTCGGTGGGACGAGATCTCAGGGCAGATGGTCCAGGCTACACCAACCGTGGCATATACACCGTACGAGATGAGGACGTTCCTGTAGGGAGAAAGACAATATTTAGACAAATTCTCCGTGGTAATTCAAAAGGCGGCAGACCTACATGATTACCGCAATTGCCAACTGGCTCGCCTTCTTGGTGCTGAATCCCAAGGCACCGATAGTAACCATGCAGAGAAAGTTGCCGAATAAGCCCCAGAGCCACAGTCTCCGGCGACCGATCCTTTCGTTGGAGAGCCAGCCGAGCATCACAAAGAGACAGCCGAGGAAGAAGCCGCCGATACCGATGTCGAAAACGCTGGTAACGTTGAGGCCAACGGTGATGAGAAAATAGATATTCTGCGTAAGGAACGGCACGCCAATGGCGCTGGTGCTAAACATGATGAACCCAATGGTTATGGTCCGCTTGAGATTGAAGCCCTTAAAGAGCTCGGACCAGGACGCTGAGTCGGACTGCTGCTTCCTCTCCTCGTCGAGCGCGTGGACGATTGCCCGGTAGCGTATGTGGAGGTATTGGTCGGCACTGCCGTGTAAGCGCCTGAGTGCGCTTTGGGCCTTGTCATGCTTTCCGTGTGCCACGTAGAAAACGGGAGACCTACGGAGTGGGTTCTTAGTTGCGGCTAATCAAAACATGATGAGGCAGGAGGGGAACTCACTCAGGCACGAGGAAAGCAGCAATCAAGACTAAGCCGGCAAAAGCCCACTGGATGCCAAAAACAATCTTCCAAGCAAGCGGTCTCATGTCGAGAATGAAGGCGCGCACGATTCCCAAACTCACACCCTGCATGGCCACGCCGAAGAAAACGATGGCCTGCAGGAGAGCACCACGGAGTTTGACGGGGGCAATCTACCAGCAGAACCATTGTTAGCATTCCTCCAGATAGAAGCCGTCAGAAGGGTAAATGTCGTACGTCGGCGGCGTATGTGGTTCCAGTCGCCATCAATCCTCCCACAACGGCCCCGTTCATCGTTTTGCCGACCAATAACATGCCCCTGGTAGAGGAGAAGACGAGAATGAAGGTGCCCACGATAGAAAGGATGGCGAGTGACACTGCAGTCCATCGACGACCGATGCGTTCGGCGAGGAAACCGGCTATCAGAGAGCCCAAGGCCTGGCCGAGGTTGGTCATGGACGTCCAGAGCGATGTCCAGATGGATGGCAGATACATAGACCCTGTGGCATGATTCATGGCGCCAAAGGACATGATAAATGCCGGCATGGCAATACTGGAACCATTGGAGACAGTATCATAGCCATAGTTACTCGCACAAACGAAGGGGAGGGTAGCTAGGTGTTTGACTCGGTAAGCAGCTGCAGTGCAATAGGACAGACAGCAGTCAATCTCGACGGGCCTCACCAAAGAGCAACAGGCGTCTATGCGCCTTGACTGCCTGCCAGGTCGTCATCTCCTTCTCTGCGTTCAGGAATTCCTCAATCGCCTCCGAGTTGACCTTGGCATCGTGGTGACTGGATTCGACATGTTCGATGGCTTCGACCTTGTCCTCGGGCATGTTGGCGATGCTTTTGCAGAAAATACAAGCGACCACCGAGTTAACTGCAGAATTTGTCGCGATAGGGTAGTCCGATCACATATCAGGAAACCCGCAGTTCATCATGGCATGATATAGCCCTGTCAACTGATGCAACCCCCCAGATTTTCCCATGCCAATCCCCGCATGTCGAGCCTGGCAGAAAATGTTGATCTGTGGCGCCGTGGACGGTTTCCGGGGAAGTGGACGGCAAACTCTGCTCGTCTGGCGGAGGTCGACTGGGGGAGAACTCCCTACCGGACTTGGGGGACGCGGGCGACATCGGTACTTCTTTGAACCGAAATATAATAAACAGGGGCACGATATTTATTGGATCAAGTGGCCGTGCCACGGAACTCGCGCGTTAGCGGCTTTCTACAACATGAGAAAGAGAACTAAGACGAACAGGATTGCCAGGCAGTCTGATTATAAGATAACAGACCGGGGCCATACTGTTCTGCGCTATAAATTACCTCCCATTGTAGGAGAAATGATGTCCTTAGAGAATACCGAACCTTACGTAGCAAGTTCATCTCTCATATGTTATGGCTTGCCGTACGCACCAGGCACTATACTAAATTCTGTTTCTCAACGGCGAGAGTTCATGGTCAATGTCGACTCAAGAATAATGTCTACGAGCCACGAATCTCCATCCCATCAGTCTCGGCAGCTGGTGGAGCTCGGCAAAGAACTCGGAATTGCCGATATAAGTGGACGGTGGACCAAAGTGGACGCGGATGTCTTGTCTGTCAGCCACGTGCCGTCGTGGATATTCCGACGACTTCGGAGTGACGTGCAAGACGGGGAAATGAAATGGTTCTGATATCCAATGCAGGCAATTGTGAAAGTTACCTGCATCCTCCGTGTCAAATACTGAGTTACTTGCAAAAATGGTGCGCATTGCACGGGTATGGGCCGAGCACCACGAGCCGGACACCATCGGTATTGGAGAAGCCCGGCCACGCATTTCCTGGAGCTTCGCCGGCGACGAGGAAAATTGGGAACAGACCAAGTACGAAGTTGAGATCAAACATGACGATGGAAAACTATCGTCAGTCACTATCGAATCATCTCAATCTCGACTCGTACCGTGGCCGTTCCAACCGTTGTCGTCGCGAGAGCGGGTCGAAGTCCGAGTGCGAGTTGGCGGCACTGCCAACTCATGCAGTGACTGGTCATCGCCGCTGGTGATTGAGGCGGGCTTGTTGCGCTCAGATGACTGGAGCGGATGTCAGTTGATTGAGC